AAGGTTTTATGACAGAGGTCTGGGGGTCAGCGTCCAGCTCTTCAGACCTTTCCTTGGATTCTGTGTGTTCACACACTCAAAGACAGTAAATCTCAAATGGGACACCTGGGTTGAGGCCTGAATGATTATTTAGATGGTCAGTGATGGAGTCAGTTTGAAAGGTAATAAAAACTCTGTCTCTGAATTGACCAATTGAGAAGAGCCAGAGGTTTGGGTTAATCTCCAGTTGGGTCAGTTAGGTAACCTGAAAGTACAAACAAGTCTGGAAAGATTTATATTATCCTGTGTCCTGGGACCAGATAAGGAACCTTTCCTGTGAGGAATGTGTGAGTTTTACACACAGGGTTGTCTTGATGCTACAATTATATTATCAAAAGATTTAAGGAATTTGGAAAAAAATGTCCAGTACTGGGTGGCCATGATCTTTGGGCCCTAAGAAGCAAGTGCATAAAACCTGACATGACTCTGTAGTGGAAATCCTTGCATGGACTCATAATCACACCCAAAATTAACAGTCTATTTACAGTTTGTCACTGTATACACAAATCTGTTGCAAAAAGGCAACTTTGTATACACACAAAAGCCATTTTATTAGGCACACCTGTCTAATAGCTTGTTAACACAAATAACTCGTTAACTGCGTTAAGGCATGTAGACATGGTCAAAACAACTTGCCACACTAGATGCAACTGCTGTTAGCTAAGAACAGGAAACTGAGGCTACAGTTGACACAGGCTCACCAAAACTGGACAATGGGAATTTGGAAAAATGCTGCCTGGTCTGATAAGTCTGGATTTCAGCTGCGACATTCAGATGGTAGTTTGTTCAGAATTTGGTTTAAACAACACAAAAACATGGATCCATCCTGCCTTGTATCAACGGTTCAGGCTGGTGGTGTAATGATGTGGTGGATATTTTCTTGGCTCACTTTGGGCCTCTTAGTACCAATTGAACATTGTTTAAATGCCACAGCCTACCTGGGTATTGTTGCTGACTATGTCCATCCTTTTATGATCACAGTGTACCACCTTCTGATGGCTACTTCAAGCAGGAAAATGCACCATGTCACAAAGCTCAAATAATCTCAAACTGTTTTCCTGAACATGACATTAAGTTTATAGTGCTCCACTGGCCTCCACAGTCACCAGATCTCAATCCAGTAGACCACCTTTGAAATATGGTGGGTAGTGTTGTGTCGCTCATGAACATTTCGTTCAAAAGAACAGAACTGCTGAGTGAACGATGTGAACGGAATCACCCCGACACCTGATTCATTCCTTCCTCAGTTCAGCTGAGCTGAGCTACAAGCCTGGCAAGCCGGTTGGGAGTGAAACTGCCGCCTTTGACTCTTTGGCCAACGACACACAGCCAGCCAGCGAGCGAGCAGGTGGGGAGAGTTTCATGATTTGCTCACAGCGAATGAACGATATGTATCAGTCAGTCCGTGAACGATATGTATCAGTTAGTGAACAAAATGCATCAGTCAGTCAGTCAGTGAACAACATGGTAAACGAAAAAAACGACTTCTGAATGACTTAAGGCAGGCAGAGGAGGAAGGGGTGTAGCGTTGTTCACTTATTGCTGTAGTTCTGAAGGCAAAGGGGGATCCAAACCAGTACTCGCAAGGTGTACCTAACAAAGTGGCCAGTGAGTGTGTATACTGTATGATATAGAAAACTTCTCCTGCCAAACTGTCAGTTGCCAATCATAATCAGACTTTCTTTTATCATTTGGAGTGTCAGAGCATCAACAAACGTGACCCAGACAGTAAAGCAGCTGAGATTCTATATACGGCAAGATTGGACCAATATTTCACTTCCATAAGGTTGGATAAGTGATAAATACAACAGTAAACTCTCCCCTGTCTCAAGTATTATCAAACTAAAAACGAGCATATACTATATTTTTCATGACACATTAAAACTCTTTCTGTCTTGTTGTCTTTGCACCATTTCTAATCAAACAAGATTTGAATTATTTTTAGACCATCAAGTTCTGCTGTCATCAACATTTTGCACCCATTTATGGGTCTGGGGCTGTGTGTTGATTCAGAGCTACACCTGAGGATTCAGTAAAGACTTAAAGTCACAGGCTTGAATGTTAGTGAGTGGTACTTCGCTGTTTCATCAAGGGTTACAGAAAAAGGCAACTCTCTTTCATATCCTGTTTTGGGAGATGAGAAATATTGATATTACTCGTCGAGCACTATCAGCATGAAACAGAGCCTTTCAGAAAAGCAGCAGTCATAACACCTGTACTGAAGTTCCTGATTATGAGCCTTTGTTCTCAGGGCTTCTGACACCGCTGCTGCCTCTCAGTGTGTGTTTGCGTGTGTTTGTGTGTGTGTGTGTGAGTGTGTGTGTGTGTGTGTGTGTGTGTGTGTGTGTGTGTGTGTGTGTGTGTGTAAGACAGGAAAAAAGACAGAGAAATCCTCAACAGAGTAAAACTGAATGTCTTTTCCTCTCTCTGTCTGTCTGTCATCCACACATGCATAAGAAACAAACAGTCTCAGGCAGAAAGCATCGCCACCTGCCACAGACGATACACGCTGGTCTGTGACAGTGGTTAACACAACAGGACATGTATAGCCCCAGGTGACTCAAATTGCAAAACTAACAACACCATGCTTCGTTGCACAAAGATCGTGGTGTGAAACACCAGCAGAAAGGGCGTGTGTGTATGTGTGTGTCAATTCATATTTTGGTCTTTGTAAATGTGTGAGTGACTATTAGCATTTGTGTCAAAACAGATTTACCGCTATTCTGATGACAAATATTCACTTCATATGACTCTAAATGTAACTTAAGCAATAGAAATAAGTAAAATGAACATTAATATTGATACAGAATTTTTTTCCTTAATAATCACAGTAGAAAAAAAAGAATGGAAACTGTGGCCCAAGATCACAGGGTGCAGCAGCAGTGCCACTTACTGCAAGAGTGAATGATACAGTAATAATGCTGCAACAGCTGTGTTAGCATAGTGAGGTTGCTTATCTTTGATCAAACCATGACAAAGTTTTTATCTTTTTATTGGACTTATTTGCACTGCTGTGACATTATAAAGAAACCCAAGAACTGTGCTAGTGTGTTAATTCTGATATTATTACTCATTCTTCAGTTTCATGTTCTGTTATATACTTGAATGCTATTTCAATTGTACTACAATATTGTATTTTTCTGCAACATTAAAACAAATACACAGCTGAGGCTACTTGTTTTGCTGTTGACATTTGTTATTGAGCCTTTTTACCCTCTCAGCTCTCACCTACTTGCAGGCAACTTTATGTGTCGCAACCTCAGTGTTAGCTGTTTTTTTTTTTTGTTAACAAGGGGGAAGCCTGAAGGTGTTATTAGGGCCCAAGCTGACGCTGCAAGCAGCGGGCACGAGCCCTATTGAAATTGCAGGAATTATTTATTACTTATTATTATTTTTACCATTATTATAAACTTTAATTGTGATTGGTGATGGACAGGCTTCAAAATATTTTGAATCTACTGAAGAGGAGCCCTTCAAAAAATGTTTCAACCTCTGAAACACATGAGAAATCAAATATTGGACCTAAATTGGTAATGTTGTTTCATGAGTCACCAACTGCTTTTACAAAATGATCATAAATACAGCTAAACAAAAACAATGACCCCTTTAAGCTCTGATTGGCCACTCCAGGTGCCTCCCTTAAATTCTAAATTATGATTGGCTATTTGCCTTGATAGAGGCGGGGCTTATGCATTGATCAAGTATTCGGGCTGTGTTGCAACAAGCTGCTAGTAGCTTTCTTCGCAATTCATGAGAACACCATTTTGTGACTTCACATTGTTCGACAATTTTAGATATTCATTTCTTATGTAATCAGACACTAAATATCTAAAATTCTGTGTATTGGAGGCATTTTTCAAAGCTTTTTTGTCATCTTAAATGCCAGTCTAGACACTGGTGTAACCTACAACAGTATAAATTAAAGGGGGAGGCTTTCTGTCGTGTTACAGTGATTTACCTGGAAGACAGTGCATGAGGTCGAGAAAACAAGTGACCATTTTACTGAGCAAAGAATGCTGGATACATCATGCATTAATAAAAGGTGGTATGTAGTTTAATAGTTTGACTTTGTAGACACCTGCTTTGATTGAAATTACTCTTTAAGACAAGAAGTGAGCAGCAGATAGGGTGGTGCAAGTCCAATTGGCAGCAGTTTCCAATTAAAGGTGTCAAGCTGACCAGCGTTTGTGGCTAATACACTTAGTGGCATGTGATCAAAATAACCTCATTAAAAAACCTGAAATACCTTTCAAAAGTAGATAAAAGAAAATTTAAACCATTTAATTCAAGGGCATGCCCCCCCCTTAATAACCCCTAGCTCAGCCTCTGTCTGCACTCATATGCTAGATACTTTTGAGGAATACTTACATGACTTTTGAGACTATAAAATCAGCTGATCAGATGTAAATGCATGGATAGCGCCGTTTAGACAATTCTACATCGTACTATTCGCATTTAAACCCCATAAGAAAAACGCAATGCATCTTCTAAAGTTGCTTAGATTTACATTTGTTGCGTTATATAAAGTCACTGGATTGGCGACTGATCTTTTCAATATGCATATCTGAAAAGAACTGTACATTACCGTGTACGTTATTCTCCTTAATAAATAGGCTCACATGCAGCAAACTACTTTGAAGTGTCATTCACGCTCTCAGCTGTCAGACACTGTCAGCGTTGTGTGTGTTTGTGTGTGAGTGAGCGCGCGTGTGTGTTCGTGTAGCTGCTACAGGTTACTACTGAGCCGCTCATTGGCTGCATTGACAGAGCACAGCGAAGTAGGTCCCCGGAATTTGATGGGCTGTACCATTTCCGCCTTCACGGGGGTTACTAGATAATTGTGTCAGCATACACCACCTCTTGATTCTTTACATAAATACATGATTCATAAAAATAAACCATGATTGTATGTTACACAGTATCTCGTCCCATAGGAACTTCTAAATGGAGAAATATTGAGAAATAAATACTCGGTGATATTTCCCCCCCCCGCTGGATCAAGTTGACGGTTTGGCCCAAAATGGCTGGAGAGAAACAGTTATGAGGATCGACGGTTTTACCAGGTATTTACGAAAAATCAGCCTGCCTGTAGCCTGAAGGTGCTTCCTCCACACAACTGGGGATCCAGGTGAGACATGTTTACTGTAAATCCAACCTTTTCACCCCGCTGGCCGCTTTTCGAGCGATATAATTGAGCCAAAGTAGGCTCGTTTGCAGTGTTATCACGGTAGCCTTCATATGAAGCCGCCAGCTGCTGTGTTTGGTGTATATTTACAGTATGAAAAACAGCTTCAACTCGGGTTTCAGTCATTATAAAGAGTTGATCCTACTTGAAAATGCACATGCAATGAACAGCGGATGCACACACCTCTCGGAGCTGTCAGTGTGTGTGTGTAGCTGCTGCAGAGCGGGCCTGTAGCTAACCCTGCAGCTGTGCAGCGCAGACAGACGTCATCAGGCCAGGATTCCCTGCAGCGGCTGTGTGTGCATACAGACTTTTGACTGATATTACCCCCAGCCCACCTGACTGTCAGCAGTCCGTCACGTGCTTTCCTGACAGACAACACTGTACAGTGACGAACTTTGCAGATAATAAGTTATAAGTCTGTTGGATTTTGCTGTTTGGGGAAATGCATTTGCAAGATCACCTGCAGCAACTCATTCAAAATGTGAGCCTTATTTGCTTATTCAAGGTGTGCAGCTGTAGTGTTGAAACCATTCCCCAGTTGAGGCTGATGTGTTTAAATGAACAGTGAACATAAGGGTTCAAAAAACTCCTATCTGCTGTTATCCTGGTAAGATACACTACAGGCCAAAAGTTTGGAAGTAAGATCAGATTTGTACAAAAAAGACCATAGTTTCATATAATTTGCAACACATTAAACATGACTTTTGTTTAAAGAGTAACTTATCAGAAGATATTTTGACTATAATTATTAGGTGTTTGAGTTATTGTTGCTTAGACTTTGCTTTCTTTAAAGTAACCTCCTCTGGCTTTAACAACAGCTTGGCATATACCAGGCATTTATCCCCCAAGTTTATTTAAGGTATGTTCCAGGGATAGCATTCCAAGCTTTCTTAAGTTCATTAAAAAGAGGCTGCTGATTCGTGGGACGCGTTTTTCTGACCGATCGATCCAAGTCATCCCACACAAGCTCAATTGGAGAAAGGTCTGGAGACTTAGGGGGCCAAACCATCTTTTGAAGAACACCTTCCTCTTCTTTTTTATCTAGGTAACCTCGACAGAGCTTGGCAGAGTGCTTAGGGTCATTGTCTTGCTGCAAAACAAACTTGTGACTCACAAGTCTTAGTCCAGATGGAGCAGCATGGTGCTGGAGGATGGATTGGTGCTGTTCCTTCTTCATCATACCCTTTACTTCAAACAAATCTCCTACTCCATCACCTGCAAAACATCCCCATACCATGGAACTACCACCTCCATGCTGAATTGTGGGTGTAACACATGGTGCTTTCAGACGTTCACCAGTTTGTCTGTGGACATAGACTCTGCGTTTTGAACCAAACAGTGCAAACTTGTTTCTAGTCATCATAAGTCAAATTTTTGTGAGCTTTTGCCCACTCATATCTCTTTTTATTGTTCTGTGGACGAAATAGTGTTTTTTTTGCAGATACACAACCCTTCAGACCAGCCTTTCTCAAACGTCATTTCACAGTTGTAAGAGATATGGGTTTAGACCTTGTCGTGTTGATTTCCTCCCTTATTTGTGGTGCTGTCTATTGCAGATCACTCTTACTGGTGAAAATGCTTTGTTTATCCTCTTCTTCTGTAGTAACTCTCTTTCATCCAGGTCTTTTTCTATCTAACTTCCAGGTTCCTCTAGTCTCTTCAGAGTGTAGTGGACTCCTTTGTTAAACACCTTTAGGTGTTTTGCAATTTCTCTTTCTGTGTATCCTATTTGTGGTAGTTTGAACGCAGTTGAGATTAATTAGGATTTTTGTATGCAAACTCTCAAAAGCCAAAAAGTTGAAGTGAATAATCCAACTGTGATTTTTATTTTTATTTTTGCTTTTGCACTGAAGTTGTGACTCTTGCAAATGAGAAACTAAATAAAACTAAGCCCTTATTATCTTTTGCTGACATATATTTAGCAATGGTGTGTTAACATCAATGTATATCTAAAGGTAAATGGAGTAAAATGGTGCATTTCCATGAACGCAACATCTGATCATGGAGTAAATGCATCGCTATAAAACTCATGCTGGATTTTAAAAAAAAGCATTGTGAACAAACTAGGAAGTTACTCCCAACTGTTCGGCCTTTAATGGCCGTGCTTCCAAACTTTTGGCCTCTAGTGTAGTTTCATATTTTGTACTTGAAAAAGAAGTTTATGTGTGGTGTAGTTTATGCTGACTTGTAGGCAAGAAATACCAGAATAATGTGAGCAAAGATAAGTGATTTTTTTCTTTCTCATGAGACCTTGGGGAACCCACAGAGCTAACTGTGGCTCTAAAAGTGTGTCAACAGTGAAAGGAAACATGTTGACAAAGGACTGCAAACAGAGAAGTTAGAACACACGCTATGTAACAGATTATCTAATGGCTCTATTTGTCATGTACTCATCTATCTGTTTACACTGCCATGGGTAAAAGTTATTGTGTAGGTCTTACTGAACAACATAAGCCACTATCAATAGTGGCACGCCAGTAGCATATCGCTTCGCCGCTAAAACATCATGCATCTTCATAAACACTGTGGCTATGTTTGCACTGCAGGTTTTGATGCACAACTCAGACTTTTTGTTAATCCGATCTTTTTGTGCGGTCGTTAATTTTACAACAACGAATGCGGAATCTAATGTGAACGGAATGCATCCGTGAAGTGACCCGCATGTGCACAAAGCACCAATTGCTTTCCGCGCCTGTTTGTGTCGTCGAACAATGGTGATGTTTGTCGCATATTGATGATGTAAAGGTCGGATGAACGCAACCTGAGCGTCCACACTGCAGTCACATCGGATACATATCTGATTTATATCCACATACAAAAGAGGCCTGGGTCGGATTTGAAAAGATCAGAATTGCACTGTACACACTTACATGAAAAAAATCAGATATGTGTCACATATGGTTAAAAAATCTGAATTAACCTGTTGTGTGAACATAGCCTCTGTCTGTAACTTTGTGCTGATTGGCCTGACATGGAAAAAAAATGCCATGACTATTATAACAGAGAGAGAAGTTGCCAAAAGATGGTCACATTTTGTTGTGTTGAATAATCCCCTCTCTGTGAGGGCCCAAAAATGCTTAAAAATTAGATTTACAAGAAGCTGTCAAAGTGATGAAGTGCTTTGATCCTCTGAGTATTTAACTGATTGAGTTAGCCACAATCTGACGTTCCTTTTTTATTTATAAATCGCTGCTCAATTTAGATTTTAGGATACAGGATTTAATTTATGGAGGCCTATATGACGTATATAACTGTGTTGGATGCTGTGTCATAATCTGTTGGAAAAGTGTCATATCACACCACCTGTGAAGGATGTTCTCCAGGCACAGTGTAGACCAAATGCTTGACAGAAAAATGTGAAGACTGTCACAGCACTGGCAATGTGAGGAATAAGCTTTCTAAAAATTTCAAACAGCAATAACTCTGCATGACTAATGGCAAAGTCCTACGTGCTTGTGTATTGCACCATTGGCAGGTCAGAGGTCAGAGTCAGATTTAGATGAGCTCTCCTAAAGCAAATCACTGAGTTCCTGATTCAGAAAAGAACTGTGCATCCTAAAACTGTGCAAGTAAGGTAGAAAGACAGAGCATCTGATTTACAAAGTGCACACAAAGGGTTAGATGCTACCCTGGCTGGGCATCTGAATGAGCTGCTCTTGCTGGTGTTTCAATGGAGGAAGATTTATTGGACTGTGAACAGATTTAAGCTCTGCATGGGGGAGAGTGCACAGCATTATGTAGTAGAGAGTGACACAAAATAAAAACATGGAAGAACTGAACTTTAGGCTTTAACGTCATTCCTAGGGCTGGGCAATATGACCTCAAATCAATATGATATATTGAGCAGTTCACCACGATAACCATAAATGGACGATAACACCCCCCCCCCATTGTTTTCATTTTCATGTGCTGATGTTCTGTACTTTGCAACTGTTGTCAAAGCACTTTGTAAACTTCTGTTTTTAAAAGTGCTGTACAAATAAAGTTATTATTATTATTATTATTATTATTATTATTATTATTATCTACTTCAGCCGCTCCAGCCGCTATGACTTTTGAACCGTCCTCCATCTCCTCACCTGTCTTTCTCTCTTTGTTACGAAGTGGATGGGGTGAAGTCACGTCTCCGATGTAGGACAGCATCTGAAAGGGATATGAGACCATAGCCTACCTACACACATCCAAAACCACCTTTTATTTATTTATTTGACACTGAATGTATTGACATAAGCAAAATGAAGTTGGTTATTGTCATAAATTTAGCTATTGGTAAATTTTCGGTTTTATCGCCCAGCCCTAATCATCACTGCAGCATGTTATGTAAATTGGACTTCTCATTTTAAGAGCTATTTAGGGATTGCAGTGTACTTTGCTGTAACCCTTGCTTTGCTCGTCACAGTTTGATGAACACTGCAAAAAGTCTTTGCTGCATTATAAAGGTGTAGTTTGGGACAAGTAACTGTTGAAAACTCTTTAAGCCAAGATTTCATGGTGCTTTTTGAAGGTGGAATCCTGATCTACTTCTCCTACTCAGTGGACAGATGTTGTGTCTGGTGCTGCTGTCAATCTGAGATTATTCAGTGTCACCAAAGAGTCTGACTGGGGATTAGTTTGTATAGCATTTAACACACCCTCTAAAATGTTGAAATTAGGAATATGAGCCACTGAGTTGAAATGATGTGTTGTGGTGAGGAAGAAAATTCCCCTCTGGTCAGAGCCATTGCATTGGAAGTGAAAATCTCTCTTTGTGTGGTTTAAAGTATCTTCCATCGAGTGTTCTTGGTTTTCCTTTCTGGATTCTTCAATTTATTATTTTCACGAGCTGCAGCAGCCAAGTTTTTGTCTAATACAAGACACTGCAAAAAGCCCATCTTATGTCTCTGCGCTGGTAGAGTTCACTAAAAATTGAGACTTTTCCTCACAGAAGAAACTTTAAAATTAAGTTTTTGCAGATGAACAGTTGGGGGAATCCCAGTACAAACACAGTCAAAAAGAAAATGTCAGTTGTTCTGTTGTTTGTGTTTGTTTCAGGGAAAGTCAGCGCCCTGGTAAAAGGGTTTGGTGTCAGTCTGACATAAATGGGTTTCGTGTGTGTCAGATAAACAAAAGCCTGACTCATGTTAATGCAACTTTATTTGGATCAGGAAAGAGAAATGTCTCACTGTCGCACCTACTCGAGCTGCCTCAGCTTTATTTTGTGCTGATGATGGAAAGCAAGTTTCACAAATCAGCAAACAGTTTTCCACTGTTGGTCCAACCTTCATACTCATACAGAAACTCATCTGACAGGGCCGGCATTTAAACTCCATCTACTGGCTTTTCATAATCGGAGTTAAAACACCAATTAGGTGTCAGATACCAGCACCAGTCTGGATGTATTGGTGGTCTTTTTTTGAGAAATCCTACTCCTGTTTTGTTTGTTGTGATTGGCTGCCTGAGAAAAATCATCACCTAAACTCCTCCAAAGGTTTAGGGAATAGTATTTCTCTGGTCTGGCAGATTAACATCATTAAGTTTTCTACTTCCAATCCTAGTTTTCCTAAACTCTGACAGAGATATAAGTATAAGCCAAACAATCTGGCCCAGTTAGCTGTGAAACATTTTTGAAGCTGGAAGGGAGGTCTGAGTGTTTTTGCAGGACTCATGACCTCAGTATTTTTTAAAACCATGGCTACAGCTTCAGTCTGGGTTTCTATACATGACCTAAAGAACAACGATGGAAATGAAATAAAAGCAGCAGCAGAAGTTGAATAATATTTAACTAACTGAATAAATAAATGTAACAGGAGTTTTGTTCATCGACTGATTGCCAAAAGTCATTTTTCTGGACATAAAAAAGTGATGACTTTGACAGTACAAGCTGCTATGATGTGAGGGTTTGCTTGTTCTTCTGTCTTTCTCATTGACTGTGTAAAAGAAGTGGATGTAGTGTCATGGCTTTATGGTGCTTTAAACTTGAAATGTCACTGATAGCCTGCAGGGGGCGACTCCCCTGGTTGGAAAACGGAAGCACTGTTGCACCAAAGCAGAAAAAGAAAACACCCTTTCCTGTCATCTGAGATATAACGTCAAAAAATTGAAAGTAGTTCTTGGTTTCGACAGCTGTTTTCTGCCTAAACAGTTCTGGGGACTTTTTGGAGAGGAGCTAACCCCTCGGGAGTCCCCCGAGAACTTCATACCATGGGGACTTTTTTAGGTTTGCATTTGCACCGTCATGGTGATGGCTGATAGGAACCTCTTGGTAATGTAAACTGGAGGAACAGTTGGTGGAGGAAGTGGCTTACATAGTAAAACTGAAAATATGGAGGATGGTTTGGTGGGAGTTGTGTGTTTGTTGTGTGTGATTGGGTTTATAGAGTAGAGTTTAATGCTTCGCCTAAGTCAAAACCGCGTGGCATCTCCTTTGTTGCAAAAACACTCGGTGAAGCCTGGACTTCATTGTCACAGAAACTAGGGGTTGAAGAAGCTGTAATAACCCACTGGGGCTGCAGCTATCTAATTGGATAAAACAAAAATTTCATTAGTTAAAGTGCAATTATTAATATACAAGAGAAAATAAAACATTTAACTTAATAATGAACAATCAATTGTTTTTCTTTTTTAGAAACAAAGAAATGTGTGGTAGCGGATTTCAAAGCTTGTAAGAAAGCTAATTATGAAACTTTAATCATGTCCGTAAAGACATTAATGTCCGAGAGCTGAATCGCTCCTATGTTACCTGCTTCTGCTACTACACCAGCAATGTTATGCTGCAAGCTAGCATGAAGAGGAGTGTGCAGAGCAGCGCTGTCTCCGCCCACAACTCAGAGGTGAATTGCTTATGAGCTACTGGAGCTCCATAGAAGGAAAGTCTCTCATAATTTATTTTTTTAGTTCAGCAAAACCAAAACCGCATTTACTCCTCCTTCTACTGTGGTGACGTAAGCGCATTGTGTCACCTTGAATTTGTATGTGCGAAACAGTGACGATTTGAGCTTATAAACTAGTACTCGAAGTAGAGAAAATTCCTTGATCATTTTTTGTAATCAAGGTACTCAAGGAATCGTTCAGCCCTAGAACACACAGTTAAAAATGTAGTTAAAAATGGGGCACTACTTTGGCCTAGTGGCTCCATATACACTCCTGATGGGGTCCAATTCCAGCCTGCGGCCCACCCCCCTCTCCCTTTTCCTTCTGGAACAATCTACTGTCCTGTCTTCTCAATGCACCCTCAGAAAAGACCTCCAAAAATGCATCTGACAAAAGAAATAATTGATGGAGGACAATTCAAAAAGGTCATGTACAATAGGCTCCAATGTCACCACCTACCTGCTGCAGGTACCGTGTTGTCCTGTGGGAAATGTCTGAATTTTTGTCTCCACTTCCTGATGTTTTAAAGACCAAAAACTTTGTTTTTTGATTTAGAAAGTCTGTGGCAAATATATTATAAGTTTGAATCCCCCAGAGAGCTCTTAATTGAATTCCCCTTTGGCGATAAATGAAGTTCTTCTAATTCTTATTCTTGTCTTTGTTTCTGTGGATTATCAAAAGAAGAAGCCGTGGTGCTGGCAGAAACCTCAGCAGGGATATTTTAAAGTCTAAGAAGGTAACGCTTTGTCGTATATATACCTCAGCCTCTAAGTGGCAAAATATGTCTCTTCTTAATTTGGATGAACTGCTTTTAACTTTACAAACTGGCCCACTCAACCTTAAGTGGCTGCAGTCTGTTTGCCTTTTGGAGAACTCTGAACCTTCATGTTATATAAGTTCAGGTCACATCAGTTAAAGCAGCAGAGAGTCAACAGGCCTTACAGTTCATATGAGGAGTATGAGACACAGCTGATCACATGAGTCAACTTCCACTTTGGCTCCAGTTCATCTCTGAGATTTACATTCATGGTTCATTAGCAGCTTCTCACTCAATTAGAGAATTAGTTTGCCCGTGCTTTTTTACTGTAAATGTTTTTTGCAGACTCAGAGCCGCTCTCAGACTTATAGATGAGTCAGAACGTGGAAATCCCTCCCTTCCTGCACATGCACAAACACGCTGCGTCTTTGACTGTGACGGCCCCCTTTATCACGCAGCCCACCGTGGGAAACATCTCGTACTTTAAGGTTCATTGCATACATCGATTATAAAAGATGACTTACAATGTGTGATATCATCTATCAGCAGAATATGAGCAAGGGGTCGGCATGCAGACCTGGCATCCAGTGTAAACACATGCCAGGCAAACGAGTGCAGAGTTTACTTTGGCTGCTGAGCAGTTCCAGTGTGGTTTCACATGTGGCTAGACGAGGAGGGGTGGAAGCAGGCAGAGGAAACTTAGATGCTTGTCTAACATTTCCGCTCAATCATAACCGTGATCATGTTACCATAACACACACAAGACTCTTTGCTCAGGCGCCACTCATCGCCATGCTTTGATGTAACGGTCTGAGGAGAAGGTAATAACAAAAAAGTTGAGAGTGTTCCCAAAATCTTGTTGACATTTTGCATGATTGGTATGATAATGCAGCCAAACACTCAGCCAGTCAGTCTGCACGGAGCAGTGTGCAGAGTGGACACTGTAGCTGCTGCTAATTGTGTTTTTCTGAGGTACATTTGGCTTTGAGGCTTGGCCCACTTTTTCAATTATGGCCTCTGTACATTATGAGGGTAATATAGGCAGGAATTAAAATGCAGCTCTAGCCTGAAAATATTAAAAGGTCGGTCAGCTTAGTGAGACTTTATAGAGACAGAATCCTTTTGTGCAGGTTTTGGCGGTTCTGACAAAATCACAAAGCCCATCAGCTGATTTATCTTGATTTAATAAAAATGTTAAAGTCACATTTCCCTCTGGCTTACCTAAAAAAAAGAAAAAAAAGTTATTTTTTAGGTATACCTGGGCTTTAAGCATTTGATTCAATCCTGTCTGTTAAGTGCTGCCCAAAGATGTCATGAGTGGAGCGCTGAAGAACAAGGAAAGTGCATCTCCTGTCTGAATAATGAATGGAGACCATATTGTGGATGGAAAAAAGGAGGATGTGGTTCAGTAATAGTCTGGTTGAACATTTCTTTCTCTGCTAAATTGTTGCTCTTGCCCGACTCTTGTTTCCAAGAAAAGTTAATGAAAATTACATGTGAAGCCTAATGAGTGACTTTTACAGGATTTGTAGGCTGCAGGCATGTTATTACATTAGGCCGCCCCTTTGAGCATTTGAATAGTTTCTGGCTTTGTTCCATTTTGTTTAGCTGTGCGCGCGGTAAAAGTTTGTCATTTTGCGGTAACATCACAAGAGGCTGGTGGGAGTGGAGTGGACTGGATCTGTCATTTCACTCAGTGTAATGATGCATTTATGGTACATCATAAGTCTCTGCTAAAAAAGTGAAGTCATACAGTTTTAATGTGGAGTACATTGAATGTACCCACCTTTTATTTGTACCGCTGAGTTGCCCTTGAGCAAAGCCCTGAACCCCAGACTTGCAGCCAACACAAGACAGCATTGAAGTTTTTCAGGACCATTTTAACTGACTTAAATTACGTTCTTATAAATCTACATTTGTGTTTTTTTTTCAGATCATTTTTGTTTATTTCAGAACTTTGTGTCACCAAAAACTTTTAGTAGAGCTGCCCCACTTACAGACATTGATTTACCAGTTGTGCATATCTTTTTAGAATTGATTTAAATTGCACTACCACTTCACTTATAAATGGTGCATTTCCCACAATAAACTCCCAGAGAGCTCAGCTGAAAAGTCAAAAGCAATATGCACTTTGTGCCAAACAGATTTAGAATACCACTAAAGTTCTGTGTGTTTAAACTACCGTCTTGGAGTCAAGCATACAGGTGAAGCCCATCAGACTGAGAGTGCTGTTTTAGAGTGAGTGGAGCACATAAATGAAACACAACTTACGACATTAACTACTTTGCTATATGGGTTGTTGTGCTGTAACTACTTATAAGCCTTATTGTATGGAACAATGGTGTTGTGTACTGATGCTGTTTTAAAGAGAGGAGAAAGCTTAAGTGGAAGTCCTTAAGAATGAGGTGATTTGATTCCATAAACAAGACACTTATGAGAAATAAGATGATTATATGAACTTATAAAACAATTTTGAAATATAAAAAAATGAATTTTTGAAACCTGTGAAAAAATGTGATTAATCAGGGATGAACAATTTTGGATTTTTACTGATATCAGATATACTGATATTTTGAAACCCATCTTTAGATTGCACTGTTAAACACATTATTTCTGTCTGTTGGTTTTAGAAACAGAAATAAAACAAGACAAACATCTGATTCTTTAAAGATACTTTAAAGATACCCCTGTGGTTTTAAAATTCAGCAATTCATCTAGATGGAAATTCAATACTTCAAATTCAGCCACTGTAAAACAAATATTAGAGGAATTAAAACAATTGATTTCTCCTTTGGTTTTTATTGGTTTGGAAGTAAGTAACTTCCCTGTAATATGTAAGTTTTATACTCAATGTGTATTATGTTTTCAAGTTTTAATAGAAAATAAATGATTATGTATATGGGCTTTGGAAAACACTTCTTTAGCATTGGTACTAGACAATGAAAGATTACTACTGTATACGCTTCACTACAAGTGATGTAAGTCTAACACATCAGTCCTGAACTTTCTACCCTGGTTTTATTGAAGTTTAGGACAGCAGGGTTTTACAGCTTTGGGTTTAAAAAGAGGATAAATATAGTATTTATCAAAAATGTTGGGTGTAGATTAATTAAAATGTTATTCCGTTCATTTCTTGAAGAACAACGGGGCAGGTTAGTTCCTGGTTTAATGTTTTGTCCTATTCAAAGACGTATTTATGTCGACCAGATGAAATTAGTCAATTAGTGTCAGACGCTGGGGAAAATAAGTCATTTTGAGCCTGTGTGTGTTTATTCTGTCTGAGACAGGCTTGTGAATCTGAAACCCAGGCCCACGCCTTGTCATTCCTCTGCGGTCCCTCCCACCCCGGCGGTGGGTGCTGCACGTGCAGCAGAGCCAGCAGAGAGGCGTTCACTTTCATCCCCTGTCATTTGGCTCGTTCCCAGATCTCCTGTCTAACCACGGCTCATTTCTTGGCTGGTCCCGCCCACTGTCCCCGCAGCCTCCCATCCCTCTGCGTATCTGTCTTGCAAACACATTTGTGTGTCTCCCTCTCTTCATCCCACAGCTATGATTTAGGCGTCAGGGCTGCTCCCACTCCCTCCCCAGGCCTGGATCGAGTTACCCTGCCATTACTCAGTCGTTCCCCCTGCGAGGGTGCTCCATGTCAGGCATAGTGGAGCCTGCCTGCCTGCTCGCTGCCTGCCTCATCGGACCTGCGGACTAGCACGGTTCGACCACAGACGCCCCTGGTCAGTGGAGTCTCTCCAGCTATGGCACAGACTGCCTGGAAAATTATGCAGACGAACGAGCGGCAGGGAGTGGGGTTAGCTGCACTCTGGATCTGTATTTTCAATCTCATGTGGGGTGAAGGAAACTCAAGCATATATGTGCTGCCTTCAGGAACCACAGGTTAAATTGGAGATCTTTTTGTTGTTGTTTTCGCCCTCACTCTTACACCACAAACTTTACTGTGAGCAGCACAACAAGGCCCAGCCCTGCCATGCGTCACAACTTGACTGGTGATTTGTGGACCTCATCGTTTTATGGTTATGTAATGTCGGTTTTCCTGACAAGTAAAACCTCTTGTTAAACCCCACGCCGCCCTGTTCCCATAAAAGTGAGTGATGCAGGCAGCATTCGAGGGCCGCACCATCCAGTTAACGGTGGTCTCTCTTCCTACAGGACGCAGGACAGGTTCTTGTCCAGCTAGCTTAGCCAAAGTATGACACTGCAGAAATTTTTACCATCCAAGCTATTGCCTGATGAATGCTTGCTGAGTAAAACCATTGAATCCTATTGGTCTAATTTATGAGAGTAAGTGAGCGATGGTGTACCTGTGCCCCTGCCCACGCCCTTTCATAGAGTGTAAAGTTTTATTGAGGCTACAGCATCCTCCTTCTCCTATTAAGCCTGTTGTGCACTCTACTGGAGCCATAACTCCCCTTCTTGCTATCGCCAAGCCTTCAGCTCCTCAGTAATTTATTTAGAGTCTGACATATGGCTGTCCTGCACCATGCGAGGTAACATATCGCACAGGAAGGCCCGCTCAGGCTAGGCTAATCCTTTCTAATTGAAAGGGAGGCAGCGTCGTGGGCCAGTGGCTTGTATGTCGCTCATCTCTCTCTGCTTGTTTTACAGTAATGAGACATCTGGGGCCGCAGAACAGAGCTGTTTGTAGAGGCAGGAACGACTCCAGAGCCTGAGGGCCTGTGAGGGCTGTCACAGACGAAACAACAGAGCTGACTGCATGTTTGCTTGTGTCTGCATGTTGGCATCTTACTTTGACTTGGCATAGACTCACCGGCCATGCTAATGTTAGATGAGATTTATTTCACTGGCAAGGATAATATATTTGGGATATTTAGGACAAGGGTATGGCTATTTAAGGGTGAGGGAGGATGTCTTTGCCCAGAAGAGGGAGTCTTATTTTTGGCCGACATTCCCTACTTCTCTTGTCTGTGTCTGGAACGCTTTTTAAAACTACAACTAGAAGTTCATCTGAGGGTTTTATAGTTGAGAGGATTTGATGTTATGTCTCAGTTAATGTGTTTGAATCTGTTCAAGTTTGTGAAGATAAAAACAGGCAGGTTAGTGTAGAATTAGTTATTTAGTGGATTATTAGTTCTGGTTTATTGGGCCTTGTTTAAACCATGACAAAGGTTTATCACAATTAGGGCTGCAAAAATGAGTTGATGTCGACAAAAATCGATAATGAAAAATGTCAACAATGAATTCCATTATCAACTATTGTCACCAGATGTGTTTTTTTTTTACAGTGGAGTGAGGAACCTTACTTCATTACGATCAGAGTTACACTTGCGCAATAGCACCTCCGCCGAGCAGTAGGGTATTCAAACGAGCTGACTATTAAAATAGTCGTTAGTTGCAGCCCTAGTCACAATGCAGTTTTTCCTTTCTTACACGTAACCAAACAGTGAATGGAAAATGAAACCCTGTTGAGGGCTTTCAGGCACTTGTATTTTTGGGCTGCTTTAGCTCAGCTGCAGACTTATTATTTTGAGATTTGTTGTCGGTGCACTTAAACTTTTTCTTAAATCTACAAGGTTGTCAACAGAGAAAGCAAGAGCAACAGCATTACAAGCTGCAAACTCCTCGAACCAAGTCCCAAAATGACAACAAACCACAAACCGGACCAGTTAGAGCCAAGAAAGGATGGTGGACTGAGGGCAGCCTAACACCACACAGCTTGAAGCAGGGTCGCCTGGCTTGGGTCCTCTGATGCTCTCTGCTTCAAAAATGACTATAAGAGGAGTCTGCTAAACTTGTTATGACCAAGACTTGGAGGTGGTTAAACTGGTGGCAACCTTAGATATCATTATTCCCCAAACTGTGGTTCATGGTTCAGTTCATGATGACTGTAGCAGATTTCTGACTCTTTAAAGGGAGCTTTTCTTTGCCACTGCTGCCAGATGTTGCCAAGTGCTTTGTCATGGTGGGTTCATGTTTGGTCCATCAAAGTATTACACATTAATTAAACAGTATCTTCAGGTTTATGCTTGGACTTCCATGACTCTATTAGAGGAAGCAGGTTCAAATTAAACATTTGAACCTGGAGGGTTATGGCTTCTGGTTTTAAGGTGCAGTGTCCAGATTTGGAAACATTGAGCAATATCTAGCAGGCCGATTCTGTATTGTAATGCTCCTTTGCTCACTCCCTTCATCTCAGTGATGGTGGTCTTTTGGAACCAGAAGCACCTGTAAAGCGTGAAGAGTACGATCCTTCAGTTTTTTTTTAATCTTATATCGTCAATACAACTTCTTTTGCACACAACTACTTTTTCTTCTTTATCTTCCAACAAGCTCCTAAATCAGACATAAACAAACGTGACCACGCCCGTTACCACCTGCATGCAAACTCACACAAGGCTATTGGCGCTACCCATCAATGCTGTTATCACGCCATAATCAAGTTTTAAGAGAAAGCTCCTCAGTTAAAGTGACATGCATGAGGGTCTGACAGTGCCTAACACTAAGGGTGGAAGAAAAAATTGATACAGCATAGTATCACGATATTTGATATATCAAATATCATTTACCAAATATTGATTTTTCAAATTATTTGCTAATTTGGAGTCAAATCTATGATAATGTAAAAGAAAAATCAACTGTTTGTCCAGGGAGGTTGGCAGAGGTGACGTCATAGAGCAGGAGAAAGTTAGTGCAACAAATATATAAAAGGTTTGCATGATGTGCCACATAAAAATAAAATACTGTATAAATAAGACAAACACAAAGGAAAGCCAAATGCAAAATTAGCTAAACAGTAGAAAAATTTGTATAAATCGCAATATATTGTATCCCAATACTCACTGTATTGCAAAATGTTAAAGATCGCAATAATATTGTTTTGTGGCCCAAGTATCGTGATAATATCGTATTGTGGGGTCACTGGTGATTCCCACCCCTATCAATGCTACTGTAGGCTTAAGTTCTGCACTCTTAACTTTGCACAGTTGAAATAACACACTGTTTTTTTCTGTTGTGCATTAATCCAACAGTCACTGCAGATGTTAGAGGTCTCTTAGTTTTAACAGTCAGTCTCATAGTAGCTGAAAATGTAGATAAAGTGTAACTTCAATAAAAAGCTCTTCTTCTTTCCCTTGTATCTTAGGTATGTAAGTAGAGGATATTTTGGGCAATAATACTTGAGCTGATACTGGCACTGTTGGCTGTCTGAATGGTAGGATGACCCAGTTCCCTTCAAACTTCTTCTTTGGGTCTTTAATATTGCCTTTTGATTGTGTCATCAGCCGTCCTACGAGATGTCTTTAGAGCTGTTTCTCTACATTTTTTACAGAAGCACTGTAGCTGGAATGAATAATATCTTTAGCCAGCTTCCACATATGAACAGCTAGCTTTGGCTCTTTTATGAAAAATACTGTTATTATGGTCTACATGGTTGGATTATGAACCTGAACTACCAAAAGACTATCGTGTTAGTGCATTATTTACACCCACGAGCTTGAGCATTTCCGCAGAGAGATGTATAACCTCTTGTTGTCCAGGTTGAGTGCAGGGTTCGCGCAGTTGCTCTGAGTGTTACTTGTATTTTCTCAGCTTTTTGGTAATGCTGCCTTGTTTATATGCAGCCTTACTGGCCTTGTTTTGCCCTCTTTTCACCCTGTAATACGGACCTTGCAGTGTTAAGGCAGGTCTGCAGCTACACTCCAGATCCAGTTGGACACGCTAAGCCCTCTACAGCTCACCAGAGACCTTTAAATTACTGCTTTTCATGAGCAGAAAAGCACCTCACATGTTTGAGGAGACTTTTTTCTCCTTGTTTGTCGTTATTCTCCTCGCTCTCTGCAGCAAATACACACACTTAAAGGGTTCGCACATTTGATATCTTTGCTGATGCTGTCTTTGCTGTTGAAAGTAGAAATAAAATACTCACGTGTCAGCACAGCACCAGAATCACTGCATGTTTTATCCCACTAAGGGAAATATACCCTCACATTTCAGAGGTATGAAACTGACTAACCTTGGCAGAGATACTTGAAGGGCTTAAGGTTAATACTAAACTGCTGTAATCCATGATTTTGTTGGTTTGAGAGCAGAGATAGCAACGGTTCAGCATGTACCTGTCAGTACTAAATGATTGCTTATTTCCTGCCAGAGAGAAGGAGTGGAGGGGGGGTGGCGAGGTGGAGTAATAGCAAGCAGCTGCCTGAGCTGGACCTTACCTCTCCTTTCTGCCGCTCTGCCAAAACACCTACTTTTTCTTGTGTTCTGCACAGCCTGTTCATGATACCGGCCTCTGTAGGTGGCGTGTAATCAGGATGAAGTACCAAAAAAAGCTTGATCCACCTTGATGAGTGCTAACTTCCTGTGAGGCGATGTTGGGAGTAAGAATTATGGGCAAATGAAAAGCGTTATTGTTTGTCCGACTCACTTACTCACTCACTCACTCGACGCCCACTGCTTATGACAATCCTTTTTATTCTTCCTACTGCGGCTTTCTTTTGTGATTAGCTAAATGCTTCATCGATCCGCCAAGTTGAGGCACCCGGAGCGAGGGAAGCCATATTTATCAAACGGTGAGAGGAGAGCACAGGATGTTGCACCGGCTGTCCCTCTTTCATTGGAAAACGATAAACATAAATCTGTGGAATGCGTCCGTGTGATATAAGTCTACCCCGGACTGTAAAGGAGGAGGAGGAGGAGGAAGAAGAAGGGGTTTAGGCCCTGATCTTCTCCGCTTCCCTCAGGCAGAAGCATTGGAGAGCCTCAGCTCTATGGGGTTTGCTGACATTTGAAGAAAAAAAAAAGCCCACCTTCAGCAAAGGCACACTTGCAAATCAGTGTCACAAGTGCAGGATTGGTGCTTTAGAATAAGAGCGAGAATGTGAGAGCTTCTGAGGAGGCCCCTTCAGCAATGCAGAGGGACTCTGCACAGGGCAAGCCTTCTCCCCGTGAATCACAGCTAATTAACGAAGTAATTAAGATCAGAATCTCCGCTCTGAGAAGGACTCTAAATTGTCTATACATTCAAATAGGCCATCAAAAGGAAATCCCTTCCATTCATGAAAGAGGGTAAAATTAAAGCGTTCAGACCCTCTCCTCTCTATTATCCCCGTCGTGTGTCACACAAGGGACATCTGTTGAAAAGAGCAAGCCAATGTTATGGTGAGTTAAAACCCTCTCCGCTCCATCAGAAGCACTGTTCATAATGCATTCGCTATACATATTTCAGCCTGAGTGAATTTATTTCAATAAATAATGTCACTCCAAGGACACGCTTCGATCTTTCCATGGCAGCCGCGCTGACTGTAAGCCACACCGTATTGTTATCTCATTCCTCTTGTGGGAAATGATAGATTAACAAACAGTTTAGAAGCAGGACACTGAGCATGTCCACACTTTTATCATCACTGCACATTGCCAAAATAGCCTCTCTGTATGATGGATGTATTTTCCACTTTTATTCTGCTGCTACAAGCTGCAAGGAGATCTACATGTCTGCCGTAATGTTAGGGCTTACTGGGATCCTCATATAGAGGAGGTGATTTATGGCTGGGATTAAGTGCAGTGGGCTTCTTTGGTTGGCAGTATTTAGTTGGTGCTGTCCCTTTGTGGAAATGTTGAAAGCTGTATGTATAAATGTCTTGTGGGACTTTTGGGGGAGGTGCTGCTGTATTCTCATATGTCAGGTAAACAGTCAGTGTCTCAGTCAGGCTGCATCACCACAGTCACTATTAACACCATATAATACAGTTCAAATATGGTTTAAATCTTCTACTGGACTCCATTAAAGCAGGAGTGGTGGCTGGCCATAGGGCTAAGGCTGTATCTTTTCTTACTCAGACACTTTCAGGTCACGGTTTGTTTTCAGTGTTTCCCACACAAAGATGAAATCTGATTGGGCTGCCCAAGTATAGTTTTGGCCCCTGAGTATATTGACCAACCATTTCCACATTTTCTGTATTTATTATCCATTGGATGACCGTACATCCTCTTTTACCAGGACATGTCCTCTTTTATGGGGGCTGTTCGGCCTTGTCTGGCTTTGTCCGGGGGAGTTTATAAAATCCTTCAAATGTCTGTGGTTTTGTACAGAAGTTTTGAGTTTGTGTCGCATGGACTTACTGAGTCAGAACCCCTAAAAAATACTAAATCTGATCCGAAAAACTCTCAAAATTAACTTCGTGTGATTCTGTGACTCTGCCCCTGCCCCCGCGTAGTCATGTCCGCTTTTTGGGATTCAGAATATGGTCACTGTAATCATCCACGATAAATGATTTTAACCATCTCTGCCCAAGGGCTGTTAAGTCCTAGTCAACTAGTTGACATTGTGGTCGATACATGCTGAGTCAACCAAAATTTTGATTGGTTGACTTGACTTTTTTCAGCGTCAGTTGACAGTCTATGGTTAATTTCATCAGGAGGAACATACCAAGTGCTAATGGGGGTGTTTTCAGAGCATCCCTATTGCACAGATAACAGAACCTTGTCTTGACAATTTTGGATTCGCCCAACCCACTGGAAACCGGCTGGGGATAGGAAGACTGAAGAGCGTTCACGTTAATCAACGTCTGGTGGTTTTCTGAATATAATGTTTGTGTTTAATCGCCTTCTTGTGCTGATATTAGTATATTTTCACCCCACCAAGCCATGCTCCCCCAAGCCGTGTCATCCCCCAGAAGGGGCTGCCGTTAGAGTCAGACCCCCCTCCAGATTAGTCAATTGTTAGTTGAGCCACAATTTCTTTGGTTGATTACAGCCCCTTGATCAAGATCAAGTTGTAACAGCTTACACCAAGTCAAAGCCTCTCACACAGTTGTCATAAAAGCTTTGTGCAGCTGGTCTCTCAGATTATGTTATTTTTGTACTTTCTTAGTTTTGGATCGCTGCAAAGAGGCACATCATTGAAAAGCCTTGTTCCATACATGAATCACCTGCAGCGATAACTCAATATCGAGGGAAAGATTTCAAGATATGAAGTCATGGCAACAATTCCAGGGAAACACTGGTATAGTTTTCTTTGTCCAGCTTATTTGTAGTTTTCTTGCAACCTTGTATAAGTAATTCACTTAATAAAGCGATTCAAACCAGCTTTCTCTCTCAGATAGCTGATCTGGGTGCTGTCATTTTCTGCCTGGCTTGCACATTTTTCCTTGTTTTATGTGGTTTGAGTGAGTAAAGTGATCATGCTTTTTAAATAATTGGCAATAAAGGTCAAGAATCAAAACCAGATTGAAGATCTACTGTGTCCGTGTTGTGGTCCACCTGCCTGGCACACTATCATAAGGCCCAGATCCAAAGTTCTGTGTGTGCATGTTTCTGTTCGGCTGGTGGGTCACAGGACAGTGCAGGATTAGGCCTCTTACAGCAGGACTGACTGGCTGAAAAGTGTTTTCTGCTCAGGGTACAAAGCAAACCCCTGTTTCCTGAGCTGTCTTGTGCAATTTGTGCTGAGCTCAGTGCAGAGCCAGAACATTTCCACTTGTGTTTCACCTCAGCCTATAAACTGTGGCGAAAGATAGACCAGGTCAAACCGGTGATGGGGAAATTCAGATGGAGTCTATGTTAGGTTAGAGGCCGCTGGCGCTTTCTTCAGTGCTGTTCTTGGATTGCATTTGACCCCTGGGTCTTCACACGTCACCTTTCTGAAAGCTGATGGAAGTAGAAAAGTGGAAGTGATCTTTACAGATTCTTAAAAGTCTTGTCTAAAATTAGCCTTTGAAAAAACCTCACTAACCTATAAAAGCCATCAAGCTCCCTTTCATGTTACAGTAAAAATCAGCCACATAACCAAAATCACTTCCTGTTCTCTTTCCTCTCAGGCAGGAAGGGGTTACTCTCCATGTTTCCTGTCCTATTCCCCTGAGCTCCGGCTACGTTCTGATTGCTTTCTTGATGTTAAACATTCCCAGGCTCCTATAACCTTCTAGTTTGCCTCTGCTGTCCAAGAGCCGTCCCAGGTGAACGAGTGGGCGAACCTCCTGTTTTTTAAGGATAAAATCTCTGCGTTTTTTTCTTTTTTTCTCACAGGGGGTGGGAGATATGGGGACTGGAGGGGCAGGGAGCCATGAGATGGGAAAGCATTCCTTCTTTGCATTCCGTTTTGTTGGCGTAAGGCTGTGGGAAAGTATGTTTCCTCCTGACCGTGGTTATCTTCAGACTGTTTTTGTAAGAACGGCCTGTTAAAAAGCTGAAGATTTAATGATAAAAATGCACAAAGATACTTTTAAATTTAAGCAAACAGACTTCGGCTTTGCAATAACAAATCATTGAGCTAAACTTGTTCTGCAATAAAAACTGTAAAAGTTGTGATTCATTCTTGGCCCAAAAGATACAACCTTTACCTTGAGCATTACCATTACGTTGAATGTTAGCCGATGACAAGGGCTGGGACTAACCTGTGTCATTAGTCTACTTTTCATTGATTTTGAGATATTTAGCTGACAAATCAGGGTGTATGCACACTTGGCATTTACACACTTATTCACTATCATTAAGGTGTCATACAGATGTTATATTCCTGTACTAAATGTGAGATAGCCATTCTAATGACCTTAAGTGCATTCTAGCAATAAGGCAAGGGAAGATAATTCAGTGTTGTCTCCACAACAAGGAAATAAGCATTTTCATAGCAATAACAGCAAAAATATATGTAATCAAATAAAGCTTTTTCGATTACCAGTCAGTCGGGATGGGCGATATGGGCTAAAAAATTTATCACAATAAGATTTGCCTTTCTGGCGATAACGATAAAAGTCCCTCCCAAAACAATTATAATTCCAATCTCTATTTTTGACTTAGTTTGACTCCAACTTTCACCAGTTGGAGTAGTCAAATATGATACTTAATCACAAATTGAGTTTTAGGTTATGGAGAAAACTAATGACATCAAACAAGTCTCAAATATGAAAACATTTTCAACATTTGTTAAAAACTCTTATTGCACAGAGTGAACAGCAGCAGATCCACTGTTTGATGTCAGGCATACCTGATTGCACTCATCTATGCCCAAATCTTGTAGAAAATCCTTCATGTGGAGCCTCGTTCAGTAACCAGCTGCTCAGAAACGTCTTCATTACCTTTGGTCATGTTTGTTTGTTATTCTGCTCTGTGTGGGCTATGGCTGTGAGTCCGTCTCCCGCTCTTACATCATCAACTTGCATTTATCGAATTTATCATGAGATGGCAAATATTTATCGTGGAGGATTTTTCTGACAACATATCGTGAACGATAATTTATCGCCTTTCCCTACTTGCCAGGATACACAAATATTTGTTTACTGCAGACTAAAATGAATTGTATGATTGCCAAAAAAAACGTTGCATAGGGTGCACTTTGGATCCTTTTTTTGTCACCTGTGAAGCCAATTGCATGTTTAGACTGGTGTTACCATAAACCCTATTTAAGATCCAAAAAAGTTCTTTAATTCTGCGATAATGTTACAATCTTACTTTCATTTCTTAATAACTTTTCATAACATTAAATCACAAATCTGTTTCAACAGAATCCTGAGATTTGGAAAGATTTCCATTGAGTTTTTTCCACCCCAGTGTCACATGTAGGTGCTGATGTTATTGTATTGTTTTATATGTAAGATGAAGAAAACATCCTGATTGAAAGTAGCAATAACTTTATTATTCCTGTAACATTTGATAGTAAACTTAGTCAGCATGTGGGTCATGGAAATGAAGCGCTTACTGATACTCTAAGAAACGATCTCACAATGAGCAAAAATACCTTTGCAGTTACAGGCTGAACATTTCTATTGTGGAGTTCATGGGGTTAAAGTCTGATGAAATAAATAAATATGAGTCAGTCATCTTGAGGAACATTCTCCTCCAAGTCATATTTTCTGGATATGGAGGTTAGCATTTTCCTTTCAACCGTCATCCCCTTATTTTTTCTTCCGTGACTCCTTCCCACTCACTTCCTCCTCTCCCGAGACACCTGATCGACGGCTGAGTTATGTTATCTCGTCTGAGTCAGCCGAGCCCTCACATCAGTCATAAAACAAACGGGATCCAGATTGAACCAACATGCCTGTGTGGAGGCTGCAGTGTGGATGTGACCCAGGAGCAGAGCTGGGCCAAGCCGGACTATATTTAGCCCTGGCGATGCTCTGGCTAATTGCCCTCCCAGGCCTAATCATTTCCAGGCTCTGCAGCTCACAAACGACTGGAGGGGAGGCCAAACACCCACTAACCTCATGTTAAAGAGATGTCAGCATCAATGGGGCTGTCAGAGTGCTGCACGGACAAGACAAATTAGCACAATATCCTTCCTTCTGTATGCTATTAGATGCTCTGTAACCAGTTGGGTTGCAGACTCCAGTGTTGTTGCCTGCTGTAGTGTATTTAATTGAATCTGTGTGCTAGCTGCAGTCTGGTAATGTGGAGAGTCTTTGCAGCTTCCTCAACACTGAGGAGTTTGTCTTTATTCCATCCTTGGTTTTGATGCAGGCTCCAGCAGAAGAGTAAATCCCTCCACTGCCTCCCCCTACAGCCGGCTTAGCTCCACGATGTGGGCTGAACCGGGGTTTGACAAAAGAAATGCGTCAGAATCTCCACCCTACTAAACTGGCCTCAGCATAAGTGGGAAACTTTACTTTGTTGTGTTTTGTTTTCAGCCCCCTCCTCACTTTAGTTCCTGCTCGTGTCCAGTTACGCTCCTTCCTGTGAGGTTCCTGTCCCCTGGACTTGCCCAGGTTAAACCATGGGCACATGACGGCTCAGGTCAGGAGGGGATGGTAGCATGAAGAGGTTGGGTTGCCTCAAGCTTCCTTCCTGGTTTAGTTCCCAAAGGCACACTGGGAAACTGGACTTTTCCATGGCTTTTTCCACTCTGCAACACACCTGGAGCAAGACCAGGTGTGTTGAAGCGGTGAAAGGGACAATAGTAAATGCTGTAAGCCAAATAAGATGAATTGGAGGAAAACCCAGTGGAAGTTGGGTTGAGGTTTGATGAGGCTCTAATCTGGGCAGGAGCTCAAAAATGACTTAAAACATGAACTTTGTTGAAAATTTTGCCGAATATTGGACAGCCTTTACCCAAACCAAGCTGTTCACTTTTTAAGAGGAACTTCCTGTTTATGAAAGTGACACTATCATCACCAGTTGCTGAGAAATCAGACAAAAATTACTCCAAAGGAGCAAAGTTGGAGTCTAAACTGTTTCACTGCTTTATGAATTAACTAAATATTCAGTTTTTGCATTTTTTATTAATTTTGTTTCGACATTATATCCCCAAACCTTTGCATCAAATCTTTTAATTCTTTTTCAAAGTGTTTAAGACATGGACTGAAAGAGTTTTATTCTATTTTAGAACTCAGTAAGTTTTTCAATGGCTTAAAAGATCTGTGCTTAAATAACCAAAATAAATCTTAAAAATTGGATGAGGCTAAGTGTCTTAAAGCTCCTATAAGGGATTTTTAGCTATCATGAAAATCATGAAAAAGCTTCAGTATGAATTTCAGTCTCATCAACATGAAAAAAATCTTTCAAAATAGAGTATGAACACCTGAATATAATTGTTTTTGTCTTAACTTAAAATGAGCCTTTTATGTCTACATAAGGAGAGGGTTCCCTTTCAGAAAGGCAGCCATAGTTCTACTGCAGCACATACTGTACAAACTACTAACAAGGGGTAGACTAATATTAGATTTTTAGAGCTGATATGATACACATATAAAGGTGGTTCTTGAGACTGAGGTTTGAATTTGATCCACATTTATAGTAAAAATTTATTCAAAATACAGAATTCAAATGATAAAGAACTCCAACACAAACTGTTGTTTAGTGGCAGATGTTTAATCGAAACTGAAACTTTCGTCATCCACTGGAGTGTACAGTTTATCACTCACTCTTTCAGGAACATTGCATCACACTGTCATGTGACATTCAGTTGATTCAGATTGTTGGTGAAATACCAAACGTTAGCCTGATAATTAGCTAAGGAATGAAACATTTTTTGTTGTACGGAGAGGAGTTTATGTTTGATGTTCTGATGGTAAAATCTTGACAAATGAAGGATCATACTTGTCAGGCATCACGGGAGCTTCTTGTCCTTCAAGGCTACTGTTGCTTCACTGACCGAAGGGGTAAGCAGGGGAGTGTCAGAATCAGAACGCTAGCTATCACTTAATATTCTCATTCCTGCAAACTATATTTCAAAGCAGTTTTTGCACTTTTTACAGTAGCAACAACTTGACTGCACTGAACATTAGGAAGTTACATTAACAGAGATGAACTGAACTATTCCATCTGATTCATGGGGTCTGTTTTTGTCTGTGGTTTAATCGCATTAATTTAATTGTGCTGTTGCTTTTCTAGCTCACCTGCATGGTTTGTCCTTAAATTATCTAAGTGTTGCTGTGGGCAGAAAAAAATTCCCTTCACATCAGAGTGATGCTGCTTGTATCAGAGGTGAATGCTGTCGATGGTTTGGTTCTTCAGGCTACTTGGACTGCAGAAACCTGATATTGACTTAACGTTTGCACACTGTCACTGCTCCTGAGAAAACATTCAAGCTAGTTTGTCGGTGCTTTTTCTTCATCCACAGGGAGTAAATCGATATTAGAGTTTGTTCTTACGTTAGAAAGACAACCATGATTATATTTTAGGCAGACCCATTTAAAGTAGGGCTGACTATCGCCAGCTTTTATGCATTAGGATAACTGAGTATCATTTTCAAGCTGTTGTGTTGTTGGATAAACTCTAATTGGGCTCGAAATAGAAGAAGTTTTGTGATATCTAAACCTGCCTCCTCAAGAAACTCACTTGCATAAATTTTGGTCGTAGGCTGCTGAGTCAAAAGGTGAGCAGAGAGCCAGAGGCAGAAAGGGAGGGAGAGAGAAGGAGTGAACTGTGTTTGTCAGCTTTTTAAACCCTGAAATTGATTCTTCTTCTTCTGCGCTCTTTATTCTAACGACAAGCTAATCCCCCTCTCCTGTTTCCCTCTGTTATAAATAGAGCCTCCTATTTCCCCGCGCCGGCGTGCGGCTGCTTCTGAAAATTAGCACTCGTGATGAGTCTGCGCTCTCAGCAATCAATTTGCCACACTAAGTCCCTCCAAAAAGGTTACCTGTGGCAACTGAGGCCCGGTCACGTAGAGCCGCCTGTCCCTGCAGCTAGTTAAATAAATGGCTCTGTGCGGAGAGTCAGCTGAATGAAATGTCAAAATATTGATGTTGAATAGTTACGTGATTTCAGAGCATTCGTCACAGAGGGGAGGGGAGCGGGTTGTGTAAAGGGGGTGTGTCAGCCTCAGGGCTTCTTTAATGATATTAGTAGAGATCTGCTTATTTATGAGGCTGTAAGTTATTCATGCTCAGCTCTGGATATCCATCACAGCTACACGGGTTGACTTCGAGCTGCAGCAGTAGCAGAGCTATGTAGAGCTGCTGTCTGAATATCTGATAATGAGATACTTCTACTGTTTAATATTTACTCATTTGGATCTTAATGCAGGATTACATGGTGGGAATTAGATCCAGCCTTTGAACAGACCTCATGTTTTACCGCCTAGGCTTTACAGTCAAGGACAAAAAGTACCCTCAGACCAATGACCTTCTAACATCTCTGTAAAAAGCTGAATACTGGGTGTTTATTTGCAAACTTAAAAATATGAAAACAAGTTCTCTCGTTGTCATCTGAGTCCGGAAACAAATTGCCAAACAAAAGGTGTATTCAAGGCAGGACACAAAAGCCTCCTGTCAGAGTAAAACGCTCTCATCTGACTGGGTTATCTCTTTGATGAAAATCAAGCATGTACAAAATGTTCAGCATGTTAATTGAATTTGATTCTACATTTCAAAACATTTGTGAGCAAATTTTCATCACAGCTCAGCTTCAAAAGAAACCAGCTCTGAGCTTTTGAGCACTAGAAAACAATCAATACAGGCAAACGAGGAGGAAATACAATTATGAGGTCACAGGACTGAGGAGTCATTAAGATGGAGGGTTTGGGTCATGAGCGTTCACACAAATGAGTCAGTTGTCATTGATTCTGAAAAAACAGTCAACTAGGGCTGGGCGATATGGAAAAAAGTTTATCACAGTATATTTTTTTCATATCAGTTGATATCGATATTACAATTTATAAAATGAAATTTTAGTGCTTATTGGTAGCATGTCTTTTGCAATAAAAATAAGCTACTGCATCTGTTAGGTCTTTGTGTCTCTTTGACGTTTTGTTGCAAGGTGTTGCGCTAGAGAAAGCGGACTGAATGGTCGGCTGTTTCAGCTGCACAGGTGCCATGGGCTCCTTACTCCGCTCGGTGTTTGTAACCTTCTGCATTGTGCGTGCTCTGCTGTGTGGCACTGTTTAAGGTGGTGAAAAAGATTTGAGGTATTCCCCAACTTTGTGAGAACATGTACTGGACATAATATGCAGTAAACACTACCCTGCTTCATGTCTGACCTCAACAAACCAAAATACCTCCATACCACCAATGTTTTCATGCCAGTGTTGTCGACGATGTTGTAATCTGTTGAGCCTTCATCTGCATTTCTGCTGGGGGTAGCACTCATTTCCTTTTTTTCTCACTGACAGTGATGTCGGCTTCACGTGTTAGAGTGCTGTGGTTGCATGTAGCTGCAGCCTGCTACTACACAGTTGTTTGCTACTTGGTTCTAATTCAGCACATGATTGGTTCAGTGCGAAGCGGACCCGGAGCAACTCCCCCTTTTGTTGGCTATTCCTATAGTCTACCAAAACATGGCAGAATGCCGACTATTGAAAAGGATATTGACCATGTTTTATATTGATTAATTTTTGATATATATATAATTATCCTTTTATTGCCCAGCCCTACCGTCAACTGATTTCAGTTTTTCAGCCTCAGTCGGGACATGTGACGGCCCAGGACTGTTGAATCCAGCCCCTCACAGACTGTGGAGTCCTGCTAATAATGATCTCACATTACACTGTAAAATCCATCCGTGGCAGTGGGGCACACACACACACACACACTCTCTTGCTGTTGGTGTCTGTGCCCGGTGTCGGGGACTGGGCAGGTCTGCGGTGTGTCTGGCAGGCTGCAGGTCTCTGGGTTGCTCTGATAGCACTTGTTCCTTTGAGGCCCAACATGCTGAGGATAACAACACCAGCCTCGTCCAGGGTCTGATCTCGGGCCAGCGAGGAGGGGATCCAAGGTTTGATCCGCCAGGATCGGGCAGAATACAGATACACCAGTGGCTGATTGGTTGAGCACATGATCAGACGTGTAACACAGGTTTGATAGCTGATAGCGGTCCCCCCCTCGCTCTGGCACACAACGCCGCCTGGATGCACCCTCGCCCAGTAAGCCCACCCTCCTCGTCTCCCTCGTCTCCCCTTGATCTACCTCAACTGGCTCCTTTTTCCCCCACGGTTCCCCTCTGTTCTTTCTGTGTCTCTCCCCCCAAAACCCGTCTTTCTTCTTTGCCTGCTCCCCTCCCAGTTCCTCGTCAGATCCACAGGGCCAGATTTTTATCGCTTTTCTGCGAGTCCTGCGAGGGGAACCTTGAGGGTCTCAGTGGGATCAATTTAAAAGGGAAGCGCTTGTCTCTCCTCCTCTCCTTGGCCCTCTCGGCTGATTGGGTCCGCTCGCCAGGAACTCACAGGCTTTTGATCTCAACCACCCCCCTTTCCCCTCACCGCCTCCACCCACCCCTGCTCAAAGTTTTTGTCGGAGCTCGGCTCTAAAAAAAAAATCTGTTCCACTTTCTGAGAAATGTGGGCCCCATTTGCTTTCTCTGCACCTGTGAGGGATGGGGTAAAAGTTTTGTAAACCTACTGGGTGGTACGAGCGATCTATGGCGTGATTGACTTCTCTTTGAAGATGTGAGAGCAATCCGTCTCTTTAGGTGGAGGTACACTGAAGAGAGACCTGCACTCCTCGGGCAGCTCTCTCCAACAACTGGTGAGAAGTTGCTGGGAGGTTCGATGCATAATTCACACAGCAGCTCTGTAATAAAGAGGAGAAAGGTACGGGGTGGTGCCCGCGAGCGTTCCCATGCTGAGCGGAGTGGAAGGTGCTCCCTCCTTTGTACGACATGAAGGAACAGTGACCCTGCAGCAAGAGGGACTACATCAGACTACAATACCCAGGCAGGGAGGGCTGTGTCCAGGGTCTTGCTTCTTTGTTGAAAACCTAGAGCTCTGTGAGTGAGAACTCTGCTTTGTGCCTGCTTTTGGGTCTTATTTTAGGGCTTCAGTCCATTACTCTGTGATGAAGATGCGCTCAAGAGAGTAAGTGCATAAATCTGGGAGCGTAGTAACAACGTCACTGACAGGGGAAACACTCATATGCCAAAGCTGTTCTCAGACATGCACTCTGGAGCTCTGACTCAAATGTTCAGATTAGGGCAGTTTGTAAGTGTTTAACATTAACCACATTTGTGATATTGTGCTAAAAATAAGCATAAAGTGAGATCGTAACTTGATAGCAGTGATCCATAACGCTGTTTGCCACGTAATAGAACAAGGATAGACAGAGATGAAGTAGCAGACTAGCTAAAGCAACCCTCTGCAGGAAGATTTGGCACTTTTAAGCACTGGTGTCTAAGATTCATTGTGAATCCAAAAGTGACAATAGGGTTTGTGCCTCTTCAGGTTACTGATCAATCGGGTAGTCGTACTTTCTAACAGAACTTTTAAGTGTTTTCATGTAGTGTAATGACTTACGATCTGCTGGATGTTGTTTACTTCAAAATGAAAGAATATAAGACAAACTTAATGCAAAAATATCAAAATAAAAGCATGACATAAAATTGTTTAATGAGGCATCGTGATTAAGGGTGTTCCAACAAGGGTACCTCAGGATTCGATTCGATTTCGGTTATGGGAGCTTTGATTCTTCGATTATAATGATTGTCCATCCGATTCAATTTGATTATTAGTGCCACAATTCTTGGATTATTGCCATTTTTAAAGCTTTTTTACATCCGAGATTGATTTTGTCTTCATCTGTGGCTACATTTGTAAATTAATAGCCTATCAACTAATTCAGTTCCTCTAAAACTACACTCAATAAATCAATAACAAGGGTTTTTTTTGAACATTTGACTTGTATTTTTCAAAGACACAAAAGCTTTTATTTTATGACTGTATGACTTTGTTGTAAGCATAAGCACTTTGACGTACTTATCTTAAACTGAGATAGTCTCCAGGATGGTCCTCTGTGGCCGGCATGACCGAAGAAGCCTTCTCTGTTTCGGGATGAGAGCGTACAAAGGTGCTGTGTCATGTTTGTGGTGTTGTTGAGGTACATTATTCTTGCTTTGCAACTCTTGCAAATCGTGAAGGTCTTGTCAGTCATAAAATCCAAAGTACTTTCACACGGTTGCAGTCAACCCCAGAGGCTGAACCCCCTGAAGCTGTTGTTGTTTTGCAAAGAAACGAATGTGCTCTGTTTGTTGTGGTCCCACTCACTAAACAGTCCAGGAGCGTGCATTAAGGTTCCGGTTACGTGTTTTTTTGTTCCGCCCTTGCAGCAAAGCATTGATGTGATTATTTTTTCATTTATTTTAAGCATTGACGTTAATTAATCGATGCCGAATCGTCATGTAAAACATTGTGATGCATTGACACATCAATGAATTGCACCCACCTCTAATCGTGATGATAAATCAAAATCTAAATATTATTCTAAATGGATGATGGCATCTGAGTTTGTTGTTGTTGCAAGTAAAGTTCATGAAGTTTAGTGTTGCTCCACCCTTGGCTTTTCCTTTCTTTAGTTTAACTGATTGTGTTGCTTTATTTTATAAGTTTTTCTTAAATATCATACTTATATTTTCACATCATGTTGGACTAAAGTTGTGATAAACTTTGAATACGAAGTTTAATGTTTGAAATAATAATTGAAAGTTCCTCAGCCTCTTATTTCTCAGGTTTGTTGTGTAACCTGACTAGTTTTCTGAGGAATGGGCAGTTACAAAAACACACTGTCAGTGTTTGGACAGGAGCCAGGGCCCGTCACCCTCCTCCTCCTCCTCTTCATCCTCTTCATCTCTCTCCTGCCAGGTCAGTGGAGGTCAAACTGGAGTTTTTCTTGTCCTAGCTCACTGACCTCTCATCCCTTGGGAAAACTCCAGTCACGACTCTGGATTAAAATTCCTGGTAAATTTAGCCGGAGCGGGCCAAAGGTTCCTGTGCCTTGGCATATCAGAAGAAAAGAAAACACCTTTTTTTTGTAGCAGTTGGATGAACTAAACTTTTCTCAGGCAGCAGGAGGAGACCTGAAACTCTGAGGTGGATCTGTTTCCAGCTCCATCTTCATGTAAAGCGAAGAACCCCTTATTTTTCAGACTCTTGGGTCCCTCGGTGATGACATCATTGGTGTAGCTGCGCACTAATTGAGGTTTAATGCTAGAGTAGAGGGAGCAGGGCTGTAATTTTCCCGCCCCGGCCTGGAATAGAGACGACAGCTTTTCATGTGGTCCAGGCTAATTTAGGTTGCAGTGCTGCAGCTGTGGGACACCTCACACTTTTTTGTTTCTCATTCTGTCTGGAGATTAAAACATATGGAAAAAGCAGCTTGTTTATAATGTAACATTAAGAAGTCAGACGTGATGAAGATGAAGGCAGGAGACGTTCAGAAACTTGGAGCTTTTCATCCTACGAGATGGAAATTTGACTCGAAAGGGTTTTGCTTTTATTTTTCCAGAGTCTGCTTCAAAACCAGAAAAGTTTTGAAGTAAGCCCCAAAGAAATAAATCTCTCCTCCCACCTTCTCCTGCCTAAATACTGCACTTATTCTGGATGTAAAGCAGCGTACGTCAGTGTAGCACAATGTGGTGTATAGGCCTCTGTAGGAGGTGGAGGAGGAGGAGTGAGGAAGGAGCTGCTGTAATATGCAGAACGGCGTTCTGTATCTCATTATGATTGTGTGTCCACAGAGCCTGGGCGTAATGACATTCATCCTCCCATCAAGGCAAACACACAAACACAGAGCTCTACCTGCTCTTTATCCCCTCCGCCATATCAGAGCCTGTATAAACATCAGGCCGTTTGAAGTGGAGAGCCTTAATCACAAGTGTAATCACTGACATCGCTCCGAGCGTACTGGCCTCAGAGAGGAGGAGCAGGAGCTGCAGGATAACGCCAAGGCCTGAGGAGACTCCTGATAGCAGCAGGGGCACAGATGGACTCGAAACAGACAGCTTCATACTTTTTATTTGACCTCTGTGCTAAATATTTCAGCATCAAGTAACCAAAACATTAAAAAAACAAATGTCCTGAAAAGTTTTTTTTTTTTTTTTCTCATAATTTAATTCAAAAGTGAAACTTCCATGTATTCCAGATTCGTCACACACAAACTGAAAAGTTTCAAAACTTTTGTTTGGCTCTTGATGATCACAGCTTACAAAAATCAAAAATCCTTTGTCCCAAAACATTACAGTTTTGCGGATAAGTCCAGTTTCTTGTCAGTAATTTCAGTCTATGTCTACACATGCCCCTTTATTTTCATAAACGGACATTTCACCCTCTCCGTTTACAAAAAAAAAACTGCGTGCACACCACTACATTTTCAGCAAAGTTTTCATTTACACTAACCTGTATATATATGCCATCAAGAGCATGCCAAACCTGTAGGTGGCAGTGTAGCAAGAAGCTCAAGCCCACGTTAGCCAATCAGAATCCCACATAGCAGCAATAACAAAAACGTCCCTTCCTTTTGGAAAAGATGCAAATGCAAACAAATACGAAGGGATTGCACCAGCATAACTGTGACTGCTATTCTGTATGCATCCATGATCACCATAGATTGTAAACATAGACTGCGTAGATTGTAAACAACAACGCATTTAACCCAGTTTCCGGTGCACACTGTGCCGTCGGCTATTTAAATCTCTGTTTACCTCAGTTTTTCTCTGTTTACATGCAAACGTGCAAACTAATTTTTCCAAAATCTCCACTCTGGCAGGAGTTTTTAAAAAGCAAATTCAGGGGCGAATTCTCTGTTTGTTTCCAAACAAAGGGTGCAAATGATGGCTAATGGCTCCGTTTTTAAAAATTAAATGTAAATGGGGCCTCAGGCCTAAAGTGCACCAATCAGCTGATTGGTTTACTGACTCTTTATTCACTGAGAGATACAGATTTCCTTTTCCAGTAGAACTTGCACCTGCCCACATCACCAGAACTACCACACACTGGTTTGCTGGTTATGGTGTTTGACTTAGGCCTGATCATGATATATTTTGTCAAATTGTCCGATCTCGATTATTATGACAATTTTTTTAACTGCCTGTTTTAAAGCATCTGTACTAAAAACTGAAGAAACTAGAAATTAGTTACACATTTTATTAGCATATAAAGTAAATAAGCAAATTGAATAAGGTACACTTAGAAAAATATAAAAACCATTTTAGCTCACCATACAACAAATCTAGATAAATACTAATTAATACAGTGAACTAGTTTACTGTCCTGAGTGTTTTTGCAGGTATGCAAGACCCGAAATAAACAAATCACCCCCCTCAGAGATAATGAAGACACCTTAAAATGTAAACATTAGATAATGCAAACGGAGATGATACAATTAATCAATGCCTTGGTCTGGTGGCTGCACCGCAAGTTGTAGCTAAACTGCTAATGCTACTTGTGCCTTCAGCAGTGGCAGCAGTGACAGGCCGTGCACACTCCACTCGCATTTTCATGTTTTCTGCATAATCATTCAAGAGGTACTTCTTCAAATGATTAAAGAGATTTGTTGTGTAGCTGTTTTTTGAGGGCACCGATCGCCGACATACCTTGAACATCGGCTTAATTGCTCGACGTCACTTTGGAGATACCTGAACCACCACCACACAACTGACGTCGAATAACTTCTCAACAATAGCATCTTCAGAGAATGACTCAAAGTCCCGGCTGACATCTATTTTGCTGCCCTCAGCACCGTGTTCAGCTCCATGTCCGGTCTTTCTGTTTACTTCTCCTGTTTACTTCTCCGGTAACTTACAGAAGTGAGCAGGAAAAGCTCGACACACATTTCTGCTATATTTGATCGAGTAAGTATGCTCACAGCCGATCACTGTGATCGAACTGAAATTGATCGCGATCATCGATCACGATCACATAATCTCCCAGTCCTAGCTTGAACTTTCAGCCAACTGGCCTGACCTGAACCCCAAAAAGAGTCTCTGGAGTATCATCAAGAGAAAGTTGAAAAGACACCAGACGGAGCTATCAAAGTAATCTGGGCATCAGTAACACCCCAGCAGAGCCACAAACTTGGACAGAGGATTTCACTGTAGTTTCAAACCAGTGGCAGTCGCCAAACACACCGGCAGTCGTTTTTAACAAAGACAAAAGTCGCTGAGGATCGGTAAGGTCTCCGGAGCAGTTAAGAACAACGGAATGAATAACTTGGAAAATGCTCTGGTAGATGTTTTATTCTTCAAGATCGCTGATTCGCTTGTTTAGCTGTCAATCAAAAAAGGATTTCGCCTCAGACAGCTCATCCAATCATGGATGCAGAAGCTCGGAGTCCGGGAGAAAGTCGGGACCGCCCTCTCGCCATAGAACTCCAGAGACGCCGAGCGTCCGATGGGCGGGACAAAGCCCAGCATTTATCCAATGAGCGTCTAGTTTCGCTGCTGGAACAACCCACTTTGAGCTTCCACATTGAAGTCAGCAGAAGCCCAGCGTCCGGCTGTTTAAAGCGCTGAGGCACTGCGAGGATGAATGAGAACGAAGTTATGCCGATTACCTGTGATTATCAGCTTCTTATCACAGTGTCTGAACAAAAGATGAAGGCTTTCTAGCGCGTATTTAGTTAATGAAATGTACACACAGTAGTACGTATTTTACCACTTTTTCTTTTTTTTGGGGGGGTGACATTTTAAGGGAAGCCGAGCTTCCCTTGCAGTCTTAGAGCAATCGCCACTGTTTCAAACTCTAGGGTTTGGCAGTGGGTTTCATTCACACAACCTCTATTCATGCTTGTCACAGTGTTTGACAGTTTAAAGAAAGCCCACAGGTCTAAGAGTAAATCAGCCCTTATCTATCCTGGTATGGATCCTAAGAGTGATTAATGCTACCTCAGAAGTCTTGCTCACGTTTGTTGGACTTTTTCTTCATTTGAAATCAGTTTTTGATTCACACACATCAACTAGCAATCAGGCCTCATCTCTCAATGACCTGTTTGGTGCACATTCTACCCTTACCCACTTTGCTGACCTTGTAGCCTTTCTCACTTTGTCAGTTGTGCAATTTTGATGCACTGGATGGATAAAAGATACCACGTCCTTTATGAGACTGGAAAAAACGATTAGAATGATTGATTCCAGGATTGACTGAAAAGTGGCGATGTTTAAATGGATAGATTACATTTTTGTATGCAGCCCTTTTTTATCAAATCGACACAGAAAATTTTATTTACATACTAGTTTAACTCTGCTTTCTTGAATTGTGTCACTACAACCAAATGAGGGAGGCTGGAAAAGTGCTTTTAAGAGGCAGGCTTTACATCTGCTTACATCTTAGTCTGTAGAGTAAAATAACATCACACAAAAAGATACCCCCTCCTACATTTTAAACCAGGGTGATAGTCTCAGGTCTCAGGATGCACGATTTGCAGTAAGTAATGAGACATTCTGACTTCAAATTGGACATATGCACAGATGAAGATTTGAATGTTTGCGATGTCGTTTCAATCTTCAAAGCCATGAGTGTTGAAAGTGTGAGTGTATTTCATCAGTTAACCACAGACCTGTGCACAGTGTGAGCTCTCAAAGCTAATCCCCATTTGTTTCACTGAGAGATGCTCAGTGCACAGCAGCAGCAGTGGTGGTATGTGACAAACTGAAACAGAGGCTGTCTGGTTGCAGGATGCTATGATCAGTCCTGTTATGGCGGAGTAGTTTGTGCATGGAATTGAAAAGAGGCCGTAGATGTCACTTTACATCCTGTGTCAGTGTCACAATAATGTACAGTGGCCTCAGGGTGTGATTTAGAAATGAAAGAGCGTTTACTGATTAACTCTAAGCAGGCGCACACACACACACACAAACGCACACACACTGATCCCATTGTATCAGTCGGGTCTAGCTGGCCTCTGCCCGGGCCAAAGCCTGTTAACTCCAATTCAGAGCGTAGAGGCTGGTAATGAGCACTGTCAGAGTTGACATAACAACCTCCCGCTCTGGGGCTGCACACTGGAGTCAGACATAGACAGAGAGAAAGAGAGAGGGAGAGAGAGAGCAGGTTCTGTCTGTGCTGTGCTGATCCTGGACTGTCTGAGAGTTAACCGTTGAAGTCCCAGTCAGATACAGTGTGGCTGCTTTGGCTGTGTGCTTGGTATTTATTTAACCTGGTTTGTCTTGCATGTAATGTTAAAGCAGCCTAATTTCTCTTCCCTACTCTGCACTCATTTTGATCACAGGAGAAGCTGAAGTTCCAGGTAAATCATGTTAGCTAAGACTTTAAGCTTTAGCATATAATTCCCCCCCATACCTGGAATGAATTAAACTTTACTTCAAAGCTGAGGACTTAAACTTCTCTGAAGTTTTTGAGTGTCGAGAATTCAGTTTTATTTTAATTCAGTTTGGTTTTCTAGCTTGTGTTTTTGGCCTTAAAGTTAAGCTTTGATATTTACAACCTCAGTCCTAAAAGAGTTGAGAGACTGTGTGAAATAAACAGAATGTAATAGTTTGTGAGGCATTTATAGCCTGTATTTAACAAATACAATATTAAAACTGGAAGATTTGATTTTGTTATGGGAAATAAATGCTTAATTACAATATGATGACAGCAACATGTTTCTAAAATGTTGGGACAGAGACAACACTGAAAGTTTGATATTAGGCCTGTCGCGATAATCAATTAATCGCCTTATCGCTCGATAAATAAAAACGAGGTCGGTCATTTTGCCAGCCTCGATAATTGACGTGCGTTTGTTTTCCTCCTCTCTCGCTACCAAAGACGCTGGATGAGAGAAGAGGTCTCACTCTGCGCATTTTTCTCGGCACCTGGGGGCGTTGGCTCTATAGCGGAATGAACGGAGTTAGTGAACCCTCCTGTCAGTCATTCAGTGTCTTTGTCACGAGGGGGCTGGCGCGCACAGGCACACAGACACAGACTTTTGGATACAGTGCTGCAAGTGAGCGTCGTGAGTGAAAAGCAAGCAAACAGAATGAACACGACAGCTTTGGTGTCTAAACCGAACGCAACAGCCCAAGTGTGGGAATATTTCGGCTTTAAACCAGTTTTGTTTTCGTCAGCCACAAAACTCCACGTGTGTGCGCGCGCGCGTGTGTCTGTGTGTTGGAGGAGCACAGCAGGCTGATGAGAGCTGTCAGAGCGAACTGAAGCTGAAGCTATATGTTTAGTGTTTAACTGACTGAGTTTTGAAACTCTGTTCATCATTTTCGTCTCGTCCCATCAACGTAAACGCACTTTCGTCTCGTCACATTTTAGTCATCTCCGACTTACGTTTAGCTCGTCAACGTTACGTCTTCGTCGTGGAAGAAAAGGGAAATATTTTAGTCAATATTTCCCTTTTTTGACGCTGGCGTTGACGAAAATATCTGACGAAATATGACGAAAACAACACTGCTTTAAACCAAATGAAAGAGGTGAGCCCACAAATACGGACGAGCCGATATGTCGTATTTGTTCCAAAGTTGTGGTGACAAAGAAGGGGAATACGACGAACATGCACGTGCACCTCAAGCACAATCATCCCCTCCATTTTTCTCAAATGAGCAGAAAAAGTACCGCCGGAGGTACCGCTTACTGAAGCGTTTGGTAAGCCAAGCAAATATAAACAAAACAGCGCAAAATGGTGCGCGCTGACAGACAGTGGAAATTAAAGTTTATCACTTTTGACACGGTGTACTCGCATTATTATGCCATATAATATTATCTATAATTTAAAAAACGGTGTCAATAATATCGTTTATCGGCGATAATTTGTAGCACAATTATCGTCCAGCAAAATTTGTTATCGTGACAGGCCTATTTGATATGCTAATCTGCTTAAAGTTAGTAACATGACTGGATATAGAAAGGGACACCCTAGAAAGACCAAGTCTCAGAGGAGTAAAGATGAGAACAGGTTCACCAATCTGTAAGGGACCGAATTATCATAGATCTATCTTTCTTGTCTACAAAGAGAGACCAGGCTAATAACTCATACTAGATCATCAGGCCCTGAAGTGGCATTGCATTAACAGCAGACGTGACTCTGTTGTGGAAATCACTACATTGGCTCAAAATCACTCCCAAATTTTTTTTATGTGAACGGAGTTTGTCGCTGCACCCACAAACGCAAGTTAAGACTGAACCATGAAAAGAGGAAACCAATCATAGACTGGATCTAGAAATGCAAGTGACCTTTCAAAACTCCAGCCCATAAAGGTGGGATTGGGGAACAGTAGAAAACTTCCCTGTGGTGTGACCAATCAAAAACTGTCATTCTTTTTGGAAATTATGAATGGCAGATCCTACGCTATAAAGAGTGGAGGGACCACCTGTTTTGTTATTAGTGCACAGTCCAAAAGCCCTGATGGCGGTTACACTTAATGGTACTTAATGGTAACCTTTTACTTCTCTATGATGTCACCTTTCAACCTCACTGGACAAACAGTTGATTTTATTTTTCCATTATTATAGACTTGACTTCATATTAGCAATTAATTTGAAAAATGGATACTTGGTAAATGAGACGATATGATATATCACCAGACAAAATATTGCGATGCGATGCTGTATCGATTTTCTTCTTCCACCCCTACTGTTAACACAGTTACAATAAAAGAGAAAAACGAACATCACTGACACCGCATTAAACATTTGTTTCTCGCTGCATTTGTCCACCAGGTTGATATGCAGAGCAGTGTTTTTTCTTTATATAAGCTTGTTTCTATGCGTTTCCATCCTGGCTCATTAGCTTCAGCTTGTTTAGAGTGGTTGTCTTGCTGTGTTGTCTGATTCGAGTTCAGGCAGCGGTAAAAAAAAATCCTCGGCATTCCAGCATCGCGTGTCCCGCTCTCCCATTTCTCAATAATTCATCCAGACAACTAGAATGATTATTCTATGAATATGCGCTAAAATTCCTTTCTTGTGCTTGTGCTTTCTCTCTAAGTTGGTGCATGTTGCTGAGTGCTCCAGTGTGTATGTGTTTATGAGTTGATGTGTAGCTGTGTGCATGCAGCTCTTTTCCCCCAGAAACAAAGGAGGTGTCAGGCCGAATTAGCCCCCTACGACTGAACGCCCAGAGAGCTTAGAGATGCACCACAGGTTCTGCTGAGTCGCACATGAGCCGCTGTGTCTGCCTCTTCCCCTCTGCTTCCCCTCCTTTACCCCCCGCGCTCGCTCCCTCTCCACTCCTGACTTGCTCTAACAAGGTTGTTGGAAGAGGATAAGGCGTGTTAAATGAATAATTTACACAGAAGAGCGCTCCTTATTTATTTAATACGGCTGGATCTGACTGAGTGGGCAGCCTGCGTCCCCAACTGCAGAGACACACCGGCTAAACGAGCGCTCGCTCGCCTTAATGGAGGGCCAAAGCGACAGGCATTTAGAGAGCAGAAGGGCTACAAGAGAGCCAGTTTGTAGGGTGTGTGTGTGTGTGTGTGCTGTGAAACAGGCCATGCAGAGCCCTGTTAGTGTGACTCCTGTAGATGCTGAAAACACTTTGTTGTAGCACTCTGTTACACTTTTTTAATGATGCAGACAGATCACATGGAGGAGGGGCCAATCACCTGGTCCAATAAACCTCTCCATAGAAATAAGAGCATTTTTAGATCCAGTGTCTGAAAGAGGAAAAAGGGGCACACCAAAAACTCATCAAATGGTTATTTCATCTCTCATCACAAGATTAACCAGTGAACATGTTTACAAAGAAGGTATACCAATATGTAAAGACCCAGACTCACTGAAATAAGCTGAATGGATTTTAAGATATTATTATTATTATTATTATTATTAATAGTTTTTTATTACTCACAGATTTATCTTGGCCTTTATTGGTGTCTGTGTAATTGCAAATGCAATGTCATTATTATTCTTGTTTTAGTTGTGATTTTAATATCTTGTGAAATTTTCCTGTTTGTACCTTTATCGTGTAATCTACATGAGTGTTTACTTTCTTCTTGTGGACCCCAGGAAGAGTAGCTGCTACTTAGGTCGTAGTTAATCTGGATTCAAATAAATAAAATAAATTACAAAAAAACCCCCACAAATATAAGACGAGACCAAAATGAGAAAGTGACAGTAACTTGTGATTTTTTGGTGTTTCTCTTCGGTAATTTGCTGTTCCCTTTTCAACAGTCCTGTTTTCATAAGAACTTTCATCTCAAAGTCAGCTGTTGGACTAAGTGATGCTTTCAGTCAAAAAAAACTTCCTCAAAGCAAGTTTCAAAACACGGCAGCATTCATGTCGAAACCCGAAACCTGCAACTCCAGTGAGAAGTTAACTTTTGAGTTTTGATCAGCTGATGACAGAAAGATGAGACAGGACTTCGACTGAAGAACAATGTGATTCTCAAAGTAAATCACATGCATATTTCAGTCTTTAATATGATGTTGAAATGCTCTAATAAAGGTCACTAAAGGTCATGTTATATCTGTTTTACATGGAAGTATACAAAACTGGCATTAAGTGATTTGTGCTAAATTTAGATTTTTCCTCCTTTAAATAAATGTTGATTTTATTCATGCCTTATCAGACTTGACGTTGACCTTTTCTATGTTGTTAATGCTTTTCCATTGCAGTTTGTATTAAGAGCCAATATTTGCTGTCTTTACAGGGGGAAGGAGAGGGGGGGACAGGACCACATCCCGGGCACCACCCAGAAAGTGGAGGAGCGAGGGAGCGGCTGAGGAGGAGGGATCTTCCTATCGGTAAACACTTTTTTTGTAGGAGGTGTATTGATTTAATATCAGATACCCACATTATTGATCCCACAGAGGAGAACTGAACAAGAATCAGTCTTGAGCTGATCATTTTAGGTTTGAAGTGTAAGCGTGGAAAAATCATGTTTTCTGACGTCATGTTTCAGGAGAGGAGACAGGAGGAGTCGTGGGAGAGGAGTAACCTGTTTGTTCTTAGACAAAGACACGATGAGTGAACGTCTCCCATTCAATAATTAAGAAGTCTTCATGTTTTTGTGGGAGAGGGAGATGATAAAACTGCTCCCACCAATCAGGTTATGACTGAAATCCTCAACATCCCCTCTCTGTCATCTGGATTTTCCTCCTCCTCCCCCTTCTCCTCCTCCTCCTCCTCTTCTTCTTCTCCTCCTCGTGGACAGAGGCAGCCCCTCTCAGCAGGAGTGATACATCGCCACAATTCTCCTGTGTGTGAGTGTGTCTGTGTGTCTGTATGTGTGTGTGTCTCCCAGGAGGATGAAATCCCACAGCTCACCCTGACCTCATTATAAAAATAGCTCATCTATCCAGCCATCACATTTCCCTCCATTTCCCCTCTCTCCTCCACAATCTCTTAGATATATCGTGATCCGCTCTCTCGTCTCTACATCAGTGTTTGCGCTGGACTTAACGTGAGATTAAAAGCTTATGCAAGTCCTTGTAACAGCAAGGTTTCCCCTGCACCTGTCATTACCAATCTGCCTGTAATCTGGGATCATAAGAAGTCTTTTTAATCAGGAAACATCCCGGAGTAACATTAAAGACAGTGTTTCTATGATCCGCGTACATTGTCTCCTGTCCTGTCTCCTACCTGGTTGGCTGCCTCTCTCACTCACCTCGTCTGCCAGCAGGGTGAAAATCCCCCCATTAGAGTGAACAGCGCTCACGTCTGGTTAATTTAACAGCAGCATCAGTGATCATTACGGTCCAAGGCCGGCTTTGATCCTTCCAGACAGTGTTTCCTACAGTTTTAGAGGCACCGTAGCAGATGCTCCATTTGTGGACTCAAGACAAAGAAAGACAGACGGGAAGCATTCACTAAAACTTCAGGAATATGAACGGCTCCCAAAGACTCGAAGGTGACAAAGTCTCCTTTCTGTTTTTCACCAAAGCCCTGTTTCATATTCACAGTTTGACACACTGTCACCCTCAGGAGCTGTTTATACAAGCATAGGACTGTTACCCACTGAGCCACTCTGCTGGAGCAGCTCAGGGTACTGAAGATATGCAGGGATATAACAATCACAACACACAGTTAAATAAATAACTCTTCTACACAGGTTTGAATGAGCTTCTTTTGTGCATCCGCAGTGATTCAAGGAGGAGGGCAGTAACAGTGGTTTATAATCTAAGAGACAGAACATTAGCATAGCTGGAATTATATATTAACAGCAGTGGATAGGTCCAGTATCAATCATTTGTAATAATGAATCTGACTGTTAATGACTTTTTGTAAATTTTGTAAAATTCTGCCGCTGTATATGGAAAAAAAAAAGAAAGACAGGGGAGGAGATGGAGGACAGTTCAAAAGTTGTAAAAGTAGACGTATTTAATGTGGGAGGGGGTGAGCAGCTTGTGGAGGAGTTATCGTCCATTTATCGTTATCGAGGTGAACTGCTCAATGTATCATGATATTGGGACTTCTCCACTTCTGGAACCACCACTTGTGCAGTAGAGTTGTACGCATTCGGCGGGAGAGTCACTCACTGTGATAGCGCTCGGTTAAAACAGCGTATCCCCTGGGTGAGCTACGCAATCTTCATACACTCATAGACTGTATCAAGTGTCAATCATAGAAAACACGAACCCCCTAATAACCTTTAAAAATTGTGGTGGCTTCACCATAAAGTGTATAAAGAATGGACAGTCTGCCTCCTTGCTGGGTGAAGCCACTCCGAGAACAGCACCCTCTGTTGATGGGCTACAGTATAGGTCATAAATCCCGCCTCCGCCAGCAAAGCTTATGGACCTGTGGATGCGTGCATCGCTACTGCGCAGCGCTGGTTTCAGGAAATGAAGAAAAATCCCAGAAATACCGAGAGCTTTTTGGCTTCAAATCCGTATACAGGCGGTAGGCAGAACCAAGTTGTACATAGTAAATACAGTCTATGAGCTTCACCCAGTGAGGAGGTAGACGGCATCCATACAGTCTATGGTGTCAGCATGTCAGAGCTTTTCAACAGCATCTTACATGTTGTAACCAAGACGTGAGGCTGTTCAGTATTAAATGGCATTTTACTATCAAATGATGCCAAATAGAGAGAGAATATGACAAACAGACTAAAAGAGCTAAATATGAGCATAAATGTGGACGTGACATGAAAACTGCAGTCGGGATTTTACGTCAACCTAAGCAAATGGTGACAGCTGTCTCAGATGAAAGATCCCTGGATCTCTGGTCATGGTGATATCTTGTGCGGATTCTAGGTATTCCAAGCTAGAAAGCTGTCAGATTTGTTTGGAGTTATGTTTGATTTGTGAAAGTTTACTGCATTTCTCCTTCCCCTTCTTTGTATATTCAGTTGAATCTCATCTCAAGACCCTTAGTTCCAGTGTCAGCTAACCTGTTACTTATTTTGTGTTGTTTGCCCCCAAATCTGTGACTCTACCCTCCCTTCGCAATTAAAAGTTGCGTCTGGGCTGTTGTATTTGCAGTGAAGTAAATTCAAAGGGCAAAATTTAGTAGAAACTCAAGAAAGAGAGTTAAAAGTTATAGAGTATTTGGAAACTAAGTGTACAGATTCTTTAGTTCTTGCAGGTTTAAGACCTCTAGGTGAACTGGTTCCAGGTCTGAAGTCTACTCGACTGTTGTCATGTCATGTTGCTTAAACAGACATTTTTTTAGGTTCTGTCAGAGTTGACCTGGTGCCTGTTTGATGAAATTGTGTTTCGTCTTTGACAGAGTAGTTACAGTAAGTATCAGCTTTCATTGTTAGGTTGCCCTCTCACCTTTACGTGCAGCAGCTTGCTCCCTGCAGAAAGGCCATCTTATGTTAAACAGGAACAAGCCGTCTCTCTCTGACCTGCTTTTAAAAGCTCAGGCTCACCTCAACAAGAGAGGAACTGTTTGAATCATCTGCATAATCTTTTGATCTTGCACCGGTGGACCGATGCTCCGGTAGCAGCCATCATTAAGGAAGTTTGCGTGATGTTCCCTCTTCCTCCATCATGGCTGAAGCTCCAACACGTGCCCTTCATTCCCTCCCTGCACCTTGGATCCTCCACCGTACAACCACCCTTCGCTTCAAAGCCACCCTACGTCAGGTTGAAAGCCAAAACCGCTCTTGTCTGTCCTTCACCGCCAAGCTGATGTGTTTGTGTCTGTGTTGTGTTGCCCTTGGGGTGGGTTACCTCCACCCCTCCTCCCCCTCTCCATCTCATCTTTTCTCCTCCCCACCTTGCTGTTTATCTGTCTCCTGGCTCGTCACGTCCCTGAACCTGCTCTAATTAGCATCCCACACAACACTGTTTATTTACTCAGGTACCGACTGAAGGGGAGGGAGGTGAGAATGAAAGAGAGAGACAAGAAGAAAAGGTAAAGAGACAGAGCAAGTTAGGAAAAGAGAGAGAGAGAGAGAAGGAGGGCTGGGAACAGGAAGAGAGGGAGAAATGAATCAGAGAATCAAAGAGCTATGAGACTCTCTCTCTCATGGCGGATGCAGGGGGTAATGATAGTTAGACAGACATGATGCTGAAAGTCGAGAAAGTGAGAGATGGAGAACTTTCCCTCCTCTCCACGCCTCCCCTCTGCCTTTTCCTGCGTTTCATCTGAGATGCAGAGTGCCTAAAATTAGCAAGCTGGCAGCTTCCTTCCTCCCTTCCTTCCTTCCAGGGCCCCATTAAAGTTCTCCTGTTGCAGTGAGTGATCATTAAGGTGGGACCAGGAGCGCAGGTGTTTTCTTAGCGTCCCAGTCAAGGCTGCAGTAGAATCACGTGTCCATGGCAATCCTCATCTGCTCAAGTGTTGGTTTGTCTGAGCAGGTTTTCCACAGATGAATTGACTTGTATCACTTCATAGCTGTGCTGAGTGCACATCTACCTTCAGAGACAGAGAAACAGATTACTGAAGGAAGAACGGAAATGGTCATGTCGTGTTTGCCGCTGCAGAGCATGTCCATCTTCATTGGGGATTAACTGATTACATAAAAGTCATACGTATCACATGACGCAAATCTTATGTGTGGTATTCATCCTGTTTCATTGTGAACCTGCTCCCTGAATCACTGCGCTACAAGATTTAAGTCATTATACTGCAAGATTAAAGTCTTCAATTGGTCTTTATTTATATAGCGCCAATTCACAAGTTAGAGGTGTCACGATACAACTTTTTGACTTCCAATATGATACCGATATTGTAGCCTTCAGTATCAGCTGATACCGATATTGATCCGATATTGGCACAAACTTGTGCATGACAAGTTTTGCACTCAGCTGCAACGTCTTTTTCGGACTTGAATGAAAAATACTGCCACACAGCCGACATCACTCCTACTCAATGTCAATGTCAATGTCAATGTCAATGTCACGTTTATTTATATAGCACCTTTATAGGACAGGCCAGACAAAGTGCTTTACAGGAGAAAAAACATAAAATAATAAAAGCTACAAGTATGGCAACATTAAAAGGGCGTACGCAAGTAAAAGCAGGTGACAACTCAACCAAAAGCTAGGGTAAACAGGTAGGTTTTAAGGTGCGTTTTGAAGGAGGTGAGGCTGGTTGCAGAGGCTGGTTACTCCTTGCTACTTTGATTGTACCTTAGTACACGCTGTTGTTGTGATCATGTGGGCTCTGCATGTTGGATCCAGGCACTGCTACCTAGAGTACTGCTTGTATTGTGTGCTGATATCAGAGATTTTAGATGCAGGCTGAAATTATTCGATATTAGTTTGTTTTGCTGATATCGTACTAATATCCAAAACAATATCGTATCGGGACAGCCCTATCTCAAGTGTTGCCTTAAGATGCTGGTCCAGACCAGACCCTATCTACCAGACCCTAAGACCCAGTGTATCTTCAGCCACATGAGTGAAACACTTAACAGCATTTATCAAGTTACAGTGGAGACAAAGAACTTCCTTTAACAGGCAGAAACCTCGAGCAGAACCAGACTCATGTTAGAAGGTCTTCTACTGAGACTGCATTATGTTTAGAGAAGGGTTAGAGGTAGATGGAGAAAGAGAGAGATGAACAGAGGAGAGACTGATAGAGGGAGATAAAGAAGGAGAGAGATAAGACTGAAGCAGGTAGATCAAGCAGCTGGAAAGCAGCTCCAGATCAGCAAAACATCCTCCAAAAAAGAGAGGGAAGGTGTTGAATGTACCATTACCCACGATAGTCTAAACTTGTAGCAGCATATCTAAGGTCTGGTCTAACAACAAGCTTTATCAAAAATAAAAGTTTTTACGGGCTCTTAAAGGCAGAGAGGATGTCTGCCCCCCAGTAGGACTGGTCGATGTTTCCAGAGGAGAGGGGCCTGACAACTGAAAACTCTACCACCCAGACCACTTTTAGAGACTTTAGGGATGATGAGCAGGCCTGCATGTCAAAACCGCAGTGTTCTGGTGGGGTAACAGGGAACTACAAGCTCTTTCAGGTATTATTATACTTGACCATGAAGAGCTTGCCAAAAGCTGCATTTTTGTCACCTGCTCTATCCCTGCCCTCTCTTTTTCTCAACTTACTCTTAAGTAAACCCGTGAAAACCTTTCTTCCTCTTCTCACCAGGTCAATAATCCATTTATTTTTGTTTCATTCTATTTTACCTGACTCTGTCACAGACTTACCAGCATGTCCTCATTTCCTGCCTCGTTCCAGTTGGCAACCAAAAAGTGTGTTTGCGGCAACTTCCTGACAACAGTGAGTCTGCACATTTATGAAACAGTGTGTCTGATGGTGCCAGTGTTTTATCACAGCATCATTTTGAACTTCCTGTTACTCCATAGTGTATCTTTGGCTGTTTGTTTTGGTGAAAGTTTGGATCTAATAGTTGGAGGGGGATTATAACTTTGAGGTATTTCTGACACATTTCTCACCATCATCAGCCCTCTGCACTCACAGCCCTCTTTTCTCCTTCAGCTACCTTCTATTTTTTCACCGCTCTTTAGTGCTGTTTGACCTATTCACAAGGGTCCAAATGTCACCGCTGAGAGAAAGGTCAGGTAAAGGTTTAGTGTTGAGCACAGTCTGGATGGCTAACACAGAGCTGGCTGCCCGAGGGGGAGGGGCACGCTAACACTTGAGACCTTGAACGCACACCTCTCTGCACGCATGCACACATTTAGACACATTGCTGTCACCTTTATTTCACGTCGACGCCACTCAGTGCACAGCCGGCAGCCATGTTGTCCGTTTGTGTGCGGTCTTCTGCTTGCTTGGTTCATCTGTGAGCATGGATGATTGAGGACATTACAGCTTCCCAGGGATGACACATGGCCTTGTTGGACATTGGGTCAAAGGTCGCTGGTTGTCAGGGGTTTACAGCATCCTGCCTTCAAAGGATGCTGCCTTGTTTTTCAGTGAAGGTCCAGCCTGTCTGTACTGATCCCTGACAGTGAGGCCTTTCAACATTCAATCAGTGACCAGCAACAGTTTAGTTCAGTTTTATAGGAAGAAAATCTCTTTTCACCAGTCGTATTTCACTACCAAAGCCCATACTAGGGCTGGGTGATAAACCGAAAATGTACCGATACTGAAATTTACGACAATAACCAACGTCATTTTGCCCATGTGGATATACTCATTGTCAAAAAAGTAAATAAATAAACGTTGGTTTTGGATGTGTGTACATAGACTATGGTCTCATGTCCCTTTAAGACACTGTCCTACGTCAGAGACGTGACTCCACCCCATCCAGTTCGTAACAAAGAGGGAAAGACAGGTGAGGAGATGGAGGACGGTTCAAAAGTTGTAGCGTCTAGAACGGCAGCTGAAGTTGACAAAGTTAATGTGGAAGAGGGTGAGCAGCTTGTGGATGAGTTATTGTCCATTAATCGTTATCAAGGTGAACTGCTCAATATATCGTGATATTGATTTGAGGCCATATCGCCCAGCCCTAACACAAACCCGGTACCTGGAATTGGCATGGACCCAGTGAGGTCCTCTGTTTCTGTATCATGTTTCTATCATTTCTTTTTTGAATGATCCATTTTTAACCTGCATTTGTGGATGCAGTGAACTGTGTTAATAGACAGTGGTTTAGGGAAGTGATTTTGAATCAGTGCAGCGATTTCCACTGCAGAGTCATGTCTGTTTTTCATGCAGTGCTGGATTTTGTATTTACCTTCTTTATGCAGAGATTTCCCCTGAGTCTCTGAGTGTTTGCTCCAACAATATCTTTAATTATTTCCAGACGTAATAACACATTCATATAACCACTGGGACTCCAAGCATCTGCCCCAAACCGTGAAGAACTCATGTCTTCAATTCACAGCCAAGACATAACAAAACAACAACACAAATGATAAATATAAATCACTAACGAAAGGAAGTTAAATGCACAATAAGATAATAATACAAATACTATATAAGTAAAGAAAAATAAATAATAAAAATGAAAAATAAGAAAGGGGAGAATAAATACCAAACCAACCATGCAGTACTCATATTCACAGTTGTGTACTGCACATTAGGTAGTGGTCAATCAACACCAGACAGTAAACATTTTACCCTCTCTGAATCTTTTAACAATATTTTCTTCTCTAGTCAATGAAATCCTGAAATTCCATGCAGTTTTATCCATCAGTTGGAAAAGTTTAAACTATTAGCTGAAGCACTCTCCCACAGAGCGGTGAGACTCCTTCCAATCTTACTTTCAAGTGACTCAGCTTCTCAAGAAGGCTTGTCATATTCCCTGTCATGTTGCTAGTGGTGGGAATTTATTAAGTATTTTGGAGCTGTCCCTCCAGGTACTTTTGTTTTAGTATTGCACAACTCTTTCAGTTTTGCTTTCCCTGTGACTTTGTTCCCTGTGAGGAACAGTTTTGGGAAATTACAGTGAAATGAAGAAACATGTACAAATTGGATTTTTGATGAAGAGTATAACTCATCATCGTGGCATTTGTGTGCTTATATGGACTTCAAACTACTCAAAAAGCATTTGTTAATACCCAGTCATGACATTACTTCTACTTCTTTCTAGATTTTCTCCTGATTGTGAAATCAAGAGGTGTGTGTTGCCTGACATTTCTACCTAGAGGAGAGTTTAAATATAAATGAAAGTGATTATCAAATCAATTTCCTTATTTCTAAGTAAGTAATGAAAGGAAAACATCCAGGGCTTCAGTTTAGTTCATTCTCTGTGAGCGATGGCAGGTTAGCGGTGGGATTTCGATATCGATTCATCCACATCCACATGCAAGGCAGAGCAGCGGGATCCTAATTGGAATGGATTTCTCCCTCTCATTGATCTGCTCAGGTGACAGTGGATGACATACTGTTGTGTGTTTGTGCGCACACCATGAATACCATATGTAGCTGTAATGTGCTCTCTTTTTGTGGGTCGCTGAAAAGGTAAAAGGAGCAGCTTCTAAGTGGGCGCGCTTTGTGTGTGTGTGTGTGTGTGTGTGTGTGTGTGTGTGTGTGTGTGTGTGTGTGTGTGTGTGTGTGTGTGTGTGTGTGTGTGTGTGTGTGGATTTGTGGGTGTGTGAGCCCACCTTTTCTCCCTCTCCTTGGCCCTCTCATGCTGCAGAGCTCTGAGATGAAACAAGGACCTCTGCAAACACTGATTTCATTTTCTCCATGACCGCCTTCGCTCCAGACTCCAGCTCCCCTGCGCACATACACACACTTGTACACCTTAGGCTTGAGAGCAAAGATGAGCAGTTAGCATGCATGCAGGGAAAAGCAATCGAGCACAGATAACACTTAAGTTCACTGAGGAGGAAAAAACTCCTGGAATGATCTTATTTCCTCCTGTATGGCAGAATTGGGGGAATATTCCTTTATTGTCTTGAAAGAATAAAGAAATTTAAATGTTTATAACCCTCTCTCACTCTGAGCGTCACTAATCCTCCATGCTGTGTTTGTGTGTTTGTGAAAGAGAGACAGGGAGGAGGTTTGTGAAAGATGGCCGCTGGACATGGCTTCACACAGCCGACTGGCCCCGACCCCCCGTGATCTGCCCTCTTATCTAGCCCAGATCCTGGCCTTTCATCTGGGCTAAAACCTGGGGGAGCTTGGCCTCTGCTGGGTTTTCGCCCTCCCTCCCTGGTCCACACATAAACATACACACACACACACACACTTCATTCCAGACCCCCCCTCCTCCATCCCTGGGCTCTATCTTTGAGTCCCAGATGAGCATTGCTCTCACCTACAAGAGAGATAACAAACTTCACACTTCTCTGCCCCCTGCTCTGCCTAAAAACACTCCAGATATGGTTCTTTAAAACTCACCTCAAGAGAAAAAAGGCTGAATCCAAAAATCTGGACTTGGATGGTTTTGCAGACTTGAGGACTTTGCAAGAAAGGATCAGCAAACCTGTAATTTAACCAGTCCTCAAGGGGCCAGTAGTGACCTTTCTGCCGACTTCCTTAGAGTCTGGTTTGGATGTAGGCTTCAACAAACTCCAGTAACTGTTTTACCAAATATATGCTGTGCTTCGACTGAGACTTGTGGCTTTTTGAAGTAGCTGACTGCAGAAACAGATACAGCTGCTTATCTTTATGCAAGTGTTTGAAAAAATACATTTATTAAAGCATTGAATTTGGTATCACGCATTAGTGAAGGCACACAAAAATATGTATATCTGAGATCCCACTGGTTATGGCCTGAATATTTGGCAACAACCAATCATCTGTGGCCTCAGATGCATCAAGCAGGTAACTGAATAAAGTGCATCTGGACTTTGTTAACCACCTAACCAGAAAAATGAGAAAAATAAGGTTTGGATTTGAATGAGAACACTAGGAAAGATCATAGCTGGTCTGCTGTGGTCAATCACTGAGCTTTCAATATTCTTCATGTTCTGTGTGTTGGATAGTTAGCAGAAAGTGCTCTTTAAAAGCATCTCTCAGAGTTTTATTTTTGGCTTTTATTTACCTTTAACAGGACAGTGGACAAAGCAGGAAATAGGGAATGAGCAGGGAGTGACATGCTGGAAAGAAGACACAGGCTCCCCTGCTAGAGGCAAAGCCCCCATATATGGGGCACACGCTTAGACTGTTAGGCCAGCAGCGTCCCAAAATCAGTGTTTTAAACAAACAAACCATCCCCATATGTGAGGATCTGAGGATAAACCTTGTCTTCATCTAACAACATGGATTCTGAGGCTGGTGGTGTTTGTGTTTCGTCTCTTGGGGCTGTTTGTTCGCTTATTTCTGACTTTGGCCATGCAGGCAGCCATGCTAGCTAAGCTTTTTTGAATGCATTCAGCTGTTGCCTCTTATATTTTGGACATAGACCTTTTCCCTGTTGGTATCTAAAGCCTGCTCAGACATGATTGATTGATTAGTCGATACTACTCCTACTGCAAATAAAACCAAACATTTCTGATGCCAAGGTGTTGTCCCGAGCCAACAGATTTAAGGAGAGATTGATTCTCTGTGAATACATCCAAAAATGTTTGAATTCATGAGGTTTTTATCTTTGTATTCTCTAATCAGTTTGTCCATATTGTAGTCTGTAGGTCTGTCTATTCAAAGTTAGTGGAGATAAAGTTTGAGAGCAGATTCGAGCTAATGTTGGTGCAAACTTTCTGTACATACAACATATTTCTGTGAGGGTTCAGTTATCATGACAAGAAGGTGGACATGTGGAAGCAGCCAAATAAAGTTTCTCCGGTATTCTACTTCATACTGTCAAGAAACAGACTGACTGACAGGCTGTGTTATCCTGTGTTTGTTTCCTGGCACCATCTGCATGGACTGAGAGCAAAATGCTGGACTCTGCAGTTTTAACCATAGCTGGCAGAGAAGCAAGACAGAGGAGAACCAGAGAATTCATCAGGGAAGCTACCAAAACACAGCACTGTCCGTGTTTTGACATTTCCCAGAGCAGCTTTCACCTCTCGCTAAATAGCATTACAGCTTCACAATAGGTAGGTTGTTTTGGCTGCTCGGTCCATCAGTCTTGGCTCGATCACCTCCACATGTGACCCGGGTCCAGGTTTGACGGTGTGAGCTGAAGTTGTTTTTGTGTGTTCATTCCACTCCGTACCATTTCATTCCATTCCAGGTGGATGCCTGAGCGTCCCCACACTGCCCTCCTGCTCAACCCTGACCTGTCTCCAGCGTAAACAGCAGATCCTCACCTCTCACCCCATCTGGCTTTACCTGATAATCTGTCTCTGTGGATCACCCCTCACCCTTTTTTTCCTCTTCTCTGTCTCCCTCACTTGCTCACATTCTCTCCAGAAACCAGGTTTTTGCGTTACCCCTCGCCCTGATCTCTGACCCCAGTCAGATTAGAGTGGTCGGCGTTTCAAATGCGGCAGCAGATTGAGTAGCATCTGTGACCTTTCTCTGCATTTCTGTTCCCTGCCCTGCTGTGAAATATCCCTTTAGAAGCAAAACAAAGCCAGTTAGATGGCACTCACTCAGGTATGAGCTGTTTTTCAGCAGATGTTATTGTCTTGGACTGAAACTGTACCTTGGTTAATGGGCTGAATAATCAAGGTGTCCTCTGAGCTGTGAGGGCCAATGATGGATAGTTAAATTGCGTTTGCCTTTGGAGGCATTGTGACCCTTGCTGTTTTTTTTATCATTTAGATTAAAGATAAAATGTTACTGATTTGTATACAACCAAAAACCCACAAAACATGTATGCTGTGGGCATTTGAAGGGTCATAAATCAGCAACACACTGTGCATCTGTGCAACCGTATAAGTTTGAATCACAAAGAACTCTCTGTAGCACTCTGTGAAGTCACTGTATGAAGGCAAGTGTAAGACAAAACATCAAAAAATTAGACTGACCACAATTTGGATCTGATAAACATTACTGACAGTGGAGCTGCACAATTAAGCTTTTAATCACCGAAACAGCTCTCACCTTAACTTGATCATTATGAGCTCAGACTGGTGTGCAACAAAATGTGGGAGTGTAAAGAAGGCTGCAAAAGTCAATCATGGACTTCTTGATCTTCTACATGTTGTGCTACAACACTATGAACTATCATGCAGCCATGGCTGGAGAGAGGAGAGCAGGGAAGGGAGCTGGAGGAGGAAGGTATGGATAAAAGACTGACTTATAACAGCCTCTCCTCCAGGGGGCAGCGCAGAAGTTTTGACCTCAGTAAACAAACAGCTGCCAGGAAAACATGGTTGCAGAAGACCAAGAAGTGATCCCCTGAAATGGTTTGTTGGTTTTAGAAGTAGTCCACATTTAGGGCAAGTTACACTAAGCAAGACAAACAATATGCAAAGAGTGTGTGTCAGCTGTTTTGACAGGTTTGATACTCTTGCAGAAAGGGTGATACATTGTGTTGAATTTAGGGGAACATCTCAAACTCAGGGTGACAGGGTTCTGTTTTGTCAGAGATCCGTTATTTGCAGTCATGTTGTAAAGTAACCTAAAGCCTCATGTCAGTTTCTTTCTATGTACTATGCCCTGCTGACTTGGGTGTAGTCCCCTTATTTCAGGTCTTGTTCACCTCTGCAAGGTTGTAAACCAACTCCAAGCTTCAAATGTAAAGGAGTTAACATTGAGCACATGACGACCATCTCTACAGTCCAGAGAAACATAAACAAACTCGATGCAAGGACAGACTTGGCCAGGGACGAGTCTGATCACTCAGATGAGTTTAGACAAACTTGATTGATAGACCATCGTCTGTGAAGCACTTTCTCAAATTGTTCTTTTTTTTTCAAGTGGTCAGACAGAAAACCTCTTCTGAATGATGGACACGGCAGCTACAGGTCTCTTTTAATAGAATGTAACAGAATATGACTGTCACTGGTTCATCAGCAAGTATGTAAACCCCTCACCCTCTCCTAAATCGTGAACTGGTGAAGGTTTGAGTTGTTAACATGCTGGTGAAGCAGGTAGAAGCTTACACTGTAAGAAAAGAACTGGTGAGAGGATAATGTAAACACACAAAAGGACATGCTTAAATACTCTTTTAAATATTAACACTGGTTTTCTTAAGTTATTAAAGAGTTTTTTGTCTATTCTCAGCTCTGTTAAAAGAATAAGTGCTAGAGGCAGCAGTTGGAGAATGTACCTGTGTCAAACGGCAGCCTCAGTGGAGTTTTTCTTATAAAGTTTTGATGCTTGAAAAGATTTACTTTTCAAGGTTGAATAAGAGTCCTATATTCATTCTTCATCTTTATTTGAAATTTGTTTTACCTGGAAGGTTTGATTCAGGTTAAAAATCTCTTACAAGAGCATCCTGGTCAAGATCAGCAGCTGCACGTTCAACAAGTTGTAAGACAACACAGAACCGTTTCAAACACACATCCTGGATCAGAGATAGTAAGGCTGTACCTGTTAGTGTGAGAAGTTACTTATGTCAGAAGACAAAGGTATTGTAGGCTGTTCGCTGCTCCCCCAGCTGTCAATACACACCTTTTCCCCTTAAAGTCCAACTGTAAACTTTCACATGGTGGAGTAAGGGGGAAACCTTCGCCCCTGTCCCTTTCTCCTTCTTTCTATAGCCACATAAAAATGCTCAGAGGAAAACATGTCCCATGGTTTTATTCCACTCTGTACTCAGCCAAAGTCACAGTCAAACTGGAGTCAACTATCCACACAGAGAAGGAATATCTCCAGTTTTATGGAGTCGTTAATGCGGTAGGGGCACTGTATAAATAATCTCCCTGCACAGAAACACTTCCAGCTGTTTTATAATATGCCCTTTGCAGTTTTTCTTTTCTTCTCCTTATTTTTGCATGGAGAAAGCATCTTTCCCAGACTGCTCAGAGATTTTTTTGTATTGAGAAAATATGGTGTTGAACATTTGCCTTTGAGAAGCATCCAGATTGTTGCACTTAATGTTGATTGGTATTACAGAGTGAAGCAAGAGCTCTGAATCAAGAGCTGCATTTGAAGTCAGATTATAATGTGAAAGTTAAGCCCAAGAGTCTGTTTACAATTAGACCCTCTGAAGCATTCCTCTGTAATCTCTCCCTCCCTCTGATATAAAGATACAGTATTGATATAAATGCAGGGACTTTTGTTTTTAAAGCCATACCTGTGGCTTGTGATTGATGGATGGAAACTGTACGGTAGATTTGGATAATATAGACTTGTTTAAAACCTCACTCTGAGGTTAAAGTTTCCCCATAGAGTTCAGCAGTATTTTGGATCAACACAGAATGGTGATCCTCAGAGTGGAACAGCCTTATTTCTCTTGGATAACCTTGAAATATTTTTGTGAACAAGGGATGATAAAGTAAATCTGGGGCTTTTTTCAGGGGCATCCTTATTGCCTCTGGCCAGGTTGCAGTCCTGGCCAGTGGAGGGGGAGGTGGAAAGGGGAGCCCCTCCTCATCTGGTAAAGATACTGCCGTTGGGCAGCTTTCACGCTCCACCGGCTGATCCTTCCAGGAAGTGAGGGGGGGGTATATGGAGCCCCCTGCAGAGCCTCAGCATGTACCACGGCAGCATGCTGGGCCCAAATCAAAGGGGGCAGTCTGTCCTTAGCCTAAGGGAGAGTGAGTGTACTGTGTGTGACCACAGAGTCATGGGTAATAGGACAGCTTGTCACACATGTGCAGATGTCTGTAACTCTGCTTGTCTGCTGCTGGGGTTGCACAAAAGGATGAGACCTTGAAGAGTGAGGTCACATGGATACTCAAGATCCTGAAAGCTTTCAGAAAATATCACAGGAAGTCATAAAGCCATCTAATTTATGACTATTAAGTCTGATTGATGAAACTAATTTAATACCGCAGCTAAAACAGAGTTTCTTTGCCACATTGGTTGTTATTAAAGATGAGGGAAAAGGGTGAAACTGGTAGTATAAGCAGAATCTTGTTGTCAATTCTTGACTGAAATGTTCCCTTGCTCACCCCTCCTGTCAGTTATGGTGGCCTTTAAGGAAAATGGTTCTCCTGTGATGCACAAGAGTTTGATCCCTATTGTTTTTACTATCAAAAAAGTCTAGCAAGCTCTTTTCCTCTTCTTCCTTTCATTGATCAAGTCTGCTCTGTGAAATTTTGCACCTGCTCAGTGTCTCACGGTCTTTGCTGCTGTTCTCCCTGCCTTAGCTTTTCACATATACAAAATAAAAATAAAAAACAGAGGGGAAGTGTGCTCCCCCTGCCTCAGACTTGAACAATCCAAGTAAAGCCTCTGTTCTGTACCTCCAGAGCCTTGTCTTTGCTGTTGCTCTTCCTGCTTTGACTTTTTATGTATTCACATGAAACAGATCTTAAATGTAAGTACAGGAGATAAAAGCATAGAACAGAAGACGGAGGTACAGTTATTAGGTTTAATCATAGATAACAGAATGTCCTGGAATAATTATATTAATCAGAGAGTATTAAAGATGGGAAGAGGCATAGCTGTAGTTAGACACTGTAAGAAATTTATACCAAGTTACCTAATCAAACAACTAACTTAAGCCTTGGTTCTATCGCATTTTGATTATGGTGCAGTCATCTGGTCCAACACAACACAAAACAATTTACACAAGCTACAAGTAACCCAAAATAAAGCTGCTCGCATGATTCTTAACTGTCCATACAGAACTAGTAGTACCATAAAGCATAATCAGCTCACCTGGTTAAACGTTAAAAGCAAGCTACACTACTCGCTTTTATCTTTAATGAAAAATATTATTACAAACAAAATTCCAGTTACTCTCATTAACACTTTATCTTTTTTTTTCGGAGGTAGAACAACACTGTACGAGGCAGGTATCAGAGGGCCGATTTCGGCTGCCTCTATGTAGAAGGAATGCAAGGAAGGGAACAGTTCACTACAGAGCCATGGTGGCATGGAATCGATTACCAAATTTTTTAATCTTAAATGATAACAGAAGCTGTTTTAATAAGAAATTGAAAATGTTTTTGTTTACTTATGGGATACCTTGACAACCTTCAAGAGCTTAGTTGGTTGAAACCCAATGTAATGAGAGCTTGGTTTGTCTCTCCACTTTTCTTTTATTGTTCTGTAAATATTGTTTTGTGGTAGTGTTCTTCGAAGAGGAGGTAAATGATAGAGCTGCTGTGTGGAAGGAATGATGGAAAAGATGAAAATGTTCAGAGGTGTAGATGGACCCCAGGAAGAATAGTTGTGGCTCTTTGCTGTAACTAATGGTGGATCCAAATAAACTGAAACGGAAACAGGGAGGAGGTGTGCTCTCCCAGTCCAAAACCAAAAATGATTTTTTGTTGGCAAATAATGAATTATCTTTGAAAACAGACATAATTAACTAATAAGTCTCTATTTTTTATGTGATTCTTTTTCAGTTGGTAGCCATCCAGTAGATCCCCTCAGATGAAGAGCCTCCAGTTCCGGAGCATTGCCCCCAAGGCCCCGGCCGTGGTGCCCTCCCCCTCACCTGCGGTCCTGTCCTGCCAGCCTCCCTCTGCCCTCCCGGAGGCTAGCACTGCCTCAAGCCCAAAGTCCATTATCGTTCCCACCCAAAACTATGCATTGATGCAAATAGCAGGTCAGGATGGCACTTTCTCCCTGGTGGCACTGCCTCCATCTGTTTCCTCCCAGACACCACAGCCACAGCAGCAACAAACCCAGTCAATTCAAAGGACTCTCAAATTGCCCATTCCAAGGTACCAGCCAGCCAGGAGCAAGGGGACCACAGATAAGGTCAAATCACCACCACTTGCTGCCAGAATGAAAACACCCTCCAAAACTTCTGCGGCAGCACAGTCATCAATGAGTTGTTTTTCAAAAGCCATTAAAAAAGAACAGGAGACTAAGCACACCAAGGAAACCACAGCGCCTAAAGAGGAGCCTTCAGAGCAGGTGATTCTGATCGAACCAGCTGCCTCAGACATCTCTGTTACCACTCTACTCCCAGACAATGCTGTCCTTTACCCAGGTTCACAGTTAGAGCGAGCACCAGAAAGCTCCGATCGACCTGCTACAACTGGCCTTATTCAAAACCTTCAGTACTCTCCAGCTGCTGTCAAGAGCTCGCCATGCAAAACTCCGGAGGAAAGTAAGACCATAGTGAGGCTCTGCCAGTCTAAACCCACTGCAGCCCAGCCCCAGAGTAGTATCACTGTCCTGTCCCCAGCTATTTTCAGCAAAGCAGTCCAGATTATCCCGTCCCCACCAAAGGGTAAACTTCCTATCCTACCCTACTCTAAAATGAAGAGCGCCCTCATCCCAGCAGCTAAACTTAACCTATCCCCAGAGAAGAAGAGCTTCCCTTGCCAAACTGGACTCCCAAGCCCTTTAGATCCTGTGTCCAAGACTGTTGATAAAGCAGAAGCTTTAGGTCACAGTCAAGTGCCAAACTCCACTCTGCAGCCCCAAAACAAGACCACACTCATGCCTGTGTTAGGAACCCTCCAGAAACCATCCGCCAAGAAGAGGGGAAGGAAGAGAAAGACAATGGAAGACATCTTGGCATTTGAGGCCAGAAAGAAAAGGTCCTTGTCTTTCTTCCGTAGACGGGTCCAAGAGAAACCACCAGCAGTTGTTTCAGGTTCCAAACAAAAGGAAGTAGATATTTCAAAGAAGTATCGCAGCATCCGGCCGAAACCCTTGTTGGTTATGGAGACAGTTCCCCAATTGGTTAGTCTGCCTGCCATCAATCCAGATGGTCAAGACCAAGAACTTGTTCTGGGCCATCAACTCCCCACCACTACCACATCCAAGGCCCTGGACAGTCCTCAACCAGCTCCAGTGACACTCCACCTGAGAGGTGCCACCCACTCCAGAGTGTTCATCGGCAGCCGCCCCATCCATCGCTGCCCAACCTGCAGCCGCTGTTTCCAGTTCAAGCATCACCTTCAAAGCCACATGAACAGTCACACCAACAGTCGGCCATACGTATGCCCGGTCTGCCGCAAAGCGTACGCTCACTCTGGCAGCCTGAGCACCCACATGAAGCTTCACCACTCTGAGGTACGCACACGGCGGTCTCTAGGCTGCGAGTTCTGCGAGAAGGCCTTCGGATATGTTGGGGTTTACTTCAGTCACCTGAGAGAGGTCCACAAGGTGGTTCTGACTGTGGAGCCGTCCATCAGCCACCATGAGGAGGATGTGTCCGTGGAAGGGTGAGATTTTTCATGAATACTGTAACTCCAGCGTCTTTTACTTTCTTAAAAAAGGTTTTATGTCAAGATGTCAATGAAGAAGGTAAACTAAGACGTGGTTTGCCAGAGTGAATGACTTTTCCTAAACTGTCCTGATGGTGTTGTTATTGGACTTAATTACTTCTTGTCCTCACTAGGGCCAACTCACTGGAACCATCAGAAGACCAGGATCGTGAAGACCCTGTGGAGCTGCAGATCAAATGTGGTCGCTGCCAAGCCATCACTCCCACATTTGCAGACATGAAGATGCACTTGCTGTACGTACACGGCGAGGAAGTCCAAGTTCAACTCCAAGATGGTCAGCCAGTGCGGGATGGCCTTGTGGCTGAGAATGAGCTAGTAAAGCATGCTGCCCACTACTGGCGACAGCTTAATGAGAAGCGCAACCTGGTCAAGTGCGGTAACTGCGATGAAGAGTTCTTCTCCTTCTCAAAACTCAAGAGGCACATTATGTCCCATCACTGTGGGTCCACCTCATCACCAGACAGCGGCAAAGGCCTTGGGGTCCTTGCAGCGGGTACTTCCTTCAACTGCGTACTTTGCAGCGAGGTATTGGACACGAAAGAGGGGGTCATGGGACACTGGAGGAGTCGCCACCACTGTGAGCAGCCCAGTTTGCTGTGGGACGCCCTAAGCTCCTACTCAGGCCAGGAGGAGGCTGAGGCTGACGGAGACTTGGACACACCTGCTCCAAGTCCACATTATCCAGCCTAACTGTTGGATAAGCAGGGAGCCCCTTTGTGTGGGTCCCCCTCATACACACTCAGTTAATATTTAGCAGCACAGGGATAGAGAGTTTTCTTTATGTATTCTAACACGGGTTTCTATTTTCATGAAGTCAGACAGCTAGCTCACACCAAGAGAAAATAAGGAGAAAAAGACCCACAACACCAGACTGATGGTGAAAATGAGTCTCTGTGTTACAATTAATAAGGGATACCCTCTCCAGGTCACAGAATACGATTTTATAAACATTATTTTCACATTATTTTAATTGCACTGCTCTGTTTTGTTTTTGTTTTAAGGTATTTAATGTCCTGATGTTTTTTTTTTTTTGTTTAGTTTTTTTTTTTTTTCTACTACTTATTTAAATATCATTAAAAGGGTAATTTATAACCAAGCTGAAGCATTACAACTTTAGGTCATGTCTCTCTAAACTCACGTGGTTTACAGCCATGTAGAAGATCTGGTCATATGTGTTGAGGTTTTTCAGGAGCCTGTTTAATATGTTTGCCTCCACCACTCTGAATATTTTCAACAGTATAGGGAAGAGGCTAAATCAGAAATGAAGTCAGGGTCAACCAGTGTGTCCCCAGGCAAGTATGAACAAATTAGAAATAAGTGCAATTTAATTGCATTAAAAGTTTTAAAGGTATTTCTGAACAGTATGAGCACAAAAAAACAAACAAAAGAATTACTGTTCACCATAACTGTATACAAACAGAGGCAGTGATCTCAGAGACAACCTCTCGATTAAAGCAGATAAATCTGCATGGCTTGATACCACCATGAGAAAGTGAGGAAGTACTTCTCATTTGGGTGTACTGGCCTTTTATGATACTGAGGCCACGTCCACACGTTCTCAGGTATTTTTAAAAACAGACTTTATTCTCAGTTTCTCATGTCTACCAGTTTTTAAATATTTCTCTGTCCACACAGAAATGCAGAAAAAGTTAATGCACATTTAAGCATGCCAGGCCAGTAGGTGGTGATAGTGTGATCAGTCTGTCACATCAAATGCCATAGAAGAACAATGTATGTCTCTTTCTTTTAACTTTGTGCAGAGTATCAGATTAATACTTAAGAGCATGATGATTTGTATCTGCCCCCATATAATGACAATAAACAGCCTCATGTCAGCTGTTTATATTTATTTTTTTGCTCATGCAAATATCTGTTCATTACCTCTTCAGAACAACAAAACAGTTAAAAAAAATCTCCAACTTGACTGGTAAAAATGTCCTTTGTGACCAAAAGATCATTAAGTGACTTTATTGTGTCTCAAACCCAGAGATAAATACGTTTTTGAAAATATCTGCAGACGTGGATGGGGCCTGAGAAATATAAAGCTATCAACAAGGACACATCATCTGCTCTCACACAGGCAGGAAATTAACTTTGGATGGTTGACTTTGGATCGTTACAGGTAAAAAGACATTGGTATTAGAACTCAGACCTGTAATGTAATGTTGCTTCTTTGATTGAACGTCTGTATTTTACTCATGACTTGAACTCTCACAGTGTGATTTAAGGCAGTTTGGGGTCCTCCGCCAACCTGGACCCACAGAGGAACACTTATCTTACCAGCACCCAAGTGATATCCTTGAGGCCTTCTGAAAAAAAAAAAAAAAACGTAGGTGTTTATGCGTAATGTGGCTTATTGTCGGTGCGGTCCTCTGTAGGCCAAGTTCTATCTCCTTGACTTGTTGAGTAATGCCTATACGTGTATTCTGTGGTATGCCAAGGGTCTATTCACACTAGTGATTGTAGAAGTGAATTTTGCATTTAAGCTTTCTAACCACTGACGGGAAACTTTTTGTTGACTTAGTAAACATGCAAAGGAAAACATGGTATTGCCTACCTGTTATTGCCAGCTCATGTGCTCACCTGTGGAGTAGTGTGCATCCAGACTCTGTTATTAGAGTTCATTTAAACTGTCGTCAAGTCCAGAAAAATATGCTATTTTATACTCTAGATTAATACAGAGGTCTTTTAGTATATTTATGCTTGTTGGTACCTAAAGAACCAGCTCTGAGACGTTTCTTATGTTTGCTTCTTCTGACTTTGGGGGATGCTAAATGTCTTCATGGCAGTAGCTCTGCTAACATTTGTCTGTGTTTATCTTTCGTATGAAGAAAAAAAAAACAACAGGGTCAAGTGAATGTACCTGAATGTTTAAAAAAAACCCTACCAAAAGTATATATATGCTATATAGACTTATTCCATAGATAGAATATATAGATATATGGAGAAAAAATATATATATTTACATAGAGTAACTAGTGAATCAGCTGCTTCGTTCTGTCACAGTGGAGGTCGGAAGCGAGATAGTTATATCATTGCCAAAACTGGCAACAAAAGCCATGCAGAGCTGTCCTTATGTGTCTGACACAAAACGTAGGACTGTTAATAAAGGTCAAAGCACTGATGTGTACGTGCCGCACTGAGTGGGTAAACTGTAGTTTACTGCTGATCATTGAAAACCACGTTTGAGTGTTTATCAGTGAACTGTCCTTTGTTTTCAAGCCCTCATCACAAACCAGGAAGTGACAGAATTAAGGGTCAGACTCTTCTTTCCTCAGATAATAAAACAAACTTTACTGTCAGCACAAGTCGGGAGATGAAAAATCCCACATGAGGGGATACAACACATTTTTGCTCACTTAAAATGTTGACTGTGTCCAAAAAATGACTGAAAATGTTTGTGCTTGTGACTGTTTGTGTTCCTGAAGAACCTGATGTTTATGATAATAAAGGTATGCTTTGTTCAGACCTTTCTGACTTTGTTTTCTCACTACAAATCTCATACACCTTTTTATAACTCTATTCTGTATTTTAACAAAATCAGTAGAGATGCTGACAGTTAACCAAGTATCCAGTAACAGAATTTTACGAAAGTACCTGAACATGCTATCTGAGTGATGTTTTCAGTTTAAAGCATGTTTCAGTGGAAAGCAGCCATTAACAATGGTCAGCGAAGGGGGAGTGACATTAGATACCACAACATCTGATTTGCGATTTTTGCATACTTGCAACGGCTGCTTCAAGCACAAAGATGCAGCTAAAACTAACAGACTTTTTTGTTAGGTTTGCAAAAACAGTCTCCGACTGTCTCTTTCTGAGGCCTCAACAGAGGAACAGTTGCTTGATAAAGGAGTATAACATAATGACATGCACTCGTCAGTAATTCATAGTTGAATATTTATATTAATGCCAGTTCTAGTTAAAGCAAAAATACAGTATGAGGCCATTTACGCTCACCTTACCCTGAGGATGTGCATGCTTTGTACTGAAGCATAAACAACAGAATGACTGCAGGGCCGAGTAGGACAGGAGGGAGAGTCACTGAGTATTCATCAGGACGAACTCAGAGGATGGGATTAATTGATATTTCTCTGTGGAAAGGTGTGTGTGTGTGTGTGTGGTATGTGAGGGTCAACCAAAGTGGGTTAGCCAGGGGGCTTTTAGGAGCGTACATATGCCTTACCTTTGTGCTCCTCCCCTCTCAGCCGACCTCCCATCTGTCTGCTTTAGCATACTCAAACCTACAGATATGAGCCAATGATCCTACCTTTAGGTCTTAAAGCACATTTCTGAGTCTCTTTAACAAGATGTGTGAACCCTTATATGATTTATATGTCTGTATTAGTGGTGTAAATCCTCCGCTAACACTGCATTAGCAATGGCTGTAGGCGTAGTCATGGCTCCATATGAAGCCAACACCTACACTACTCTTCATTTTTTGCCTGTTTCTCATCTTTTGCCTCACAGGATGTAAAAAAAGCACTTCAGTCCTTTAAAAAATAAATAGGCATTAGAGTTAGAGTTATTAGAGTTAACTTCTTATTGCAGAATTAAACATGTATGAAGCTTGGTACAAAAACTGTCTCTATACCTTATTCATTTTTGACAACTGTAATGAAGTGACAATGTGGAATTTTTGGCAACTTATTTTTATTTGTTAATATTAGGATAAACAGTTATGTTTAACTGTCAGGACCATAGACTGTATATACTATGGACAACTTGGTTCCGCCTACTGCCTGTATATGGATTTGAAGCCAAAAAGCTCCCGATATTTACAGGATTTTTCTTCATTTCCTGAAACCAGCGCTGCACAGTAGCGATGCGTGCATTCGGCCGCGCAGTCGCCGAGAGTCCCTGTGATGACGCTCGGCTCAAACAGCGTATGCCCCGGAGAGCTACGCAATCCCTGAACGCCCATAGGCTGTCTCAGGTGTCAATCATAGAACACATGAACCCCCTAATAACTTTTGAAAACACAGCCATACAGAAAAAAGAGGACTTGAGCACAAACCAGTCTTACTGTAACTACATGTCAACATCACAAGCAGGGGAGGGCGGGGGGGAATCTATGTTCTGTGTAATGAATTTCTAAAGTTTGTCCACAGTCCCATAAGCTTTGCTGGCAGAGGCGGGATTTATGACCTGTACTGCAGCCCATCAGCAGAGGGTGCTGATCTCGGAGTGGCTTCACCCAGCAAGGAGGCAGACTCTGTCCATCTTATATACAGTCTATGGTCAGGACTCTCAATGTTAAGATGTTTATCGCAATGCAATTAAGGTCTGAAATTAACGAACAATTCTTTTATCTTTGCTCCTTTTGGTGCTCCATAGCTAAGCCACCACCTCTGCTGCAGCCATGAAATTAACACCACAGTACTTTTGAATGACACACTTTACCTTATGAAAGAAAAACCTTACTTTATCACCTGTTAGTAAAGAATACTGGTGCACCTAATTAGACTGATGTCTGGGGCAACCACATCACAAAAGCTGGCAGAGCGCTGTTCTGGCATGTGCAAATGGCAACATACCTGTGGCTCAGACCTATCATCTCAGAGAGCAATATTTTTATGCATACATGACATGTATGAAACAGGAACATTAACCAGGGATCACTGGACATCAGGGATATATCTAAATTATTTAATGGATCAATATTGACCAAGCATTGTTATACGAAATACTGCAATTAAAACTCTTTCCAGGTTTCAGGATGAGTCAGTTATAGAGTCAGCTTTTCAAATATGGTGGCTGGCCTCTTTGTGCTCCATATCACCTCTTTAAGAACAAATGGGTGACGCCCCTTAAGGACCAAACCCACTTGAGACTGCTCTGTTTGTTTCAATGTTGTCAGAGAGAAAGACTTCCTCCTCTCTGCTGGTCATTGCCACAGCAGTGTGGAATACAGGCCCTCAGCTCTAATTGATTTGGAGGCGTATGACCTTGTATCAAAGGTTAAAGGGCGCCCTGCTGTGATTTCCGTTGCTAGTCAAAGCAACAGCCGCCCATAACAAAACAAGCCAGACGAAGCTTGAATCAACTCCTCAACTTCTTCAAACTTCTTTAGAAAGACTCAAAGGTTTGAAATGAGTGACTCAACTTCAGGTGTCTTTCAGCTCTGGAGGAACACAGATAAAGCTGCGACATCAGTACATATCAGGGCCCAATCTAGCGTCACCACTGCACCACATCGCAGGCGCAGATAAAAAGGAAAGCGCTATACAGTGATGCATATTTCCCTTTAATCAGAGCTAACGTGTACCTCAGCCGTCACACTGCACTCCCACCTCACTGTGGCTCTCAGGGGGACATGGGAGATCAAAGACACCCCCCCGCTTGTACATGATCAGTGGGAAAGAAGGAGAGCTGGGGGCTGCTCTCTTTTTTCTCTCATTCTTTCTGCCTTTCTTCAGGTCTTTGAGGTACACCCCCTTCAACACTTCCCTGGCCCTGCAAGATTGAAGAGGGGAGGCAAGGGACGAGTAAAAGTTGCACAGCTTATCTAATCTATGAGAGAAATGTAAAAGGCGTCGATCAGTGGTGAAGAAATGTGTCGTTGGGGTTTGTATGAGTTAAGCTTTTGAACGTGACACTCTTTCATTTGACCCCTTTGAGGAGGAAACAAGACCGCAAAACAACATGCAGTGAGACGTGGAATAACAGAACTGGCGTCACAGGAAGAATGCCAGGGGAGATTTATAGGACAGTAAAAATGTGACCCACACTGACCACAGATGTTCTCGAGAACAGCCTAGGTGGGGTGTAACTTGAGTGCAACATGCAATCTCTTGGCTGATGGAAGCCTCGCTCCTGCCCTCTCATGTCTCACTGCTGATGCTTTGTTGCCAGTCTGTCTTAATACACAAACAAGCGTGAAGCTGCTGTCAACATGTGCTGTATGTTGGCGATACATGTGCACATTTATCAAAGTTGTTCTACGGTTTCATCAAAGATTTATAAACCCTCCTGGATGTCAGGACTTAGATGTACAAATCGGTAATCCCACATCTATGAACTCTGCCTCCATCTCTCACTCGATCTGGAGAAGTGATCCGCCCTTCCCTTCCCTGCTGCCTCTTGGTCTCAGGTTTCAAAGCATCCTATCCCTCCTCACCCCACCAGATTAGTCATCTAATGAGCAGCAGGGCTGATCAGGTGAATAATTGATAGCGGGCGGCTGGAGAAAGGCATCGATCTGAGCCGGGCTGTGGCTCTAAATGGAGCAGAGAAGGAGACACCTCTGGAGGATAAGGAGGCACAGGTACATCACTGCAACACAACAGCAGTGTTACTAAGTGATGGTTACGTGATGTAAAAATGTACTTTTGGAGGGCAGGGTCTCTTAAACTTTCCCCCCTAAACATGCATCACAAACACACTTGATAAAAGTATCATTTTCACACACCATACTGCAAACCAGTATCTGTGGCTGCATGTGTGATGTTGCATCATGGTTGTATCGTGCAAAGTGAGGATAACAGATTTGATTGTTGAAGTCCAGATCCTCCCAGGGGACCAAAGTCCAGGAAAAATCACACTCATGATGGGTCGAGACAGGCACTGGCATTGTTAGGTTGAATAAACAAACGCATCAAATAAGAGAGTCTGGGTCATTACATAAAACAAGACTTGGCAGCTAGCTAATGGGTGGTACCTAGCTGTACTATCAGGGTAATGTATCTGGATGTTGGCAAAAAACGTTGTTTACATGAGTTTTTTCCTGACATTTAAAAAGAATGAGCCTGAGGTCTAATTTATTGTTCTCCCTACACCGTCTCCTCCTCCTCCTGTTAAAAGTCAGTGTTAGAGGAGGAGGCCAACAGTCATCTTCTGCTCTGTGCTGGAAAAAAAAACATGTGTACTTTGAAATTATCTTACCAACAGTTATGTACCCTGTCACAGGTGCTGAATACCAGGGTAAAGGTCATAGAAGGTCCAAAATAAACGACCCACATTCCAGTTGACCCTAGAGGATCGATCTGTATTAGATTGATTTAACTTCCCTTTTTATTCAGTCAAACACTTGATTCTGATTGGAAACAAACAAAACAAAGAGGTTTCATTTTTGATCACTATAGTTAATAAACTCAGTTGTACCCCACCATTGTTACTGTGACATTGCATCTCTGCACTCTGGCTGCTTTGTTTCCCATCAGCTTTCCTGCATGAGTGACGTCTGTTGAGCTCATTCTTTTTTTTTTTTTACTAAATGACAATTACTCTCAATGTGGATCATAATTAAACGAATTAGCGGTGCTGAGCAAATAAAGCTAATCTGTCTTTTTTCATGCTCTGTTTGATCAATCTCTACAGTATGTACAGCCTGATACAATGCATGATCTATGACTCCGCATGCTTTAATAACACAAGTGAGAGATTGCAGCAATGAAGCAAGTTTCATAACAGGGGTTAATTTTAAACAGATGTTTCATGTTTTTGTCAATGGTCAAGAAAGGTTTGGTTTAT